AAGGGACGATGATCAAAACTTAAAGCACCCCTCTATTCTAATGTTTCGTAAAATTATCCTTCTTAAGTAACAATGTTGGAGAAGTGGACCAAGTGAAGGAAGGTAGTATCACCTTGCAACATAGAAAGCAGAGTTCTCCAGCATAAACAGTTTATTGGAACAGGCAATGGCTAGAGCGCCACCTGAACCGCCTTCTCCAGTTACAACCGTTATAATGGGCACCTTCAGGCCAAACATAGTCCTCAAATTCTGTGCTATTGCCTCACCCTGCATAAAGAAAAAGTGAAAATGTTTATTCTGTGGTAACATGTTGACAAAGTAAAGAAATGGTCCTTCCGAAAAAAGATGAACTATTGATGGGAATTTGCAAATTAAGTAGAAAAGTTGCATACTCACTTGACCAAGTTCCTCAGATTTGAGATCAGCAAAGGCCCCAGGAGTGTCAACAAACGTAACAATAGGAAATCCGTGATGATCGGCATATTTCATCATTCTGAGAGCCTTCCGATAGCTGCTTGCAAAGTATGCTCAACAAAACATGGTTCAAAGTATGTTCTAACTAGTAACCTAATGAAAATATACTTGAAACATACCCGTGAGGAGTTGGCATTGCAAAGTTGCGAGCAATGTTCTCCTTGGTGTTTCTACCTTTCTGATGACCTATAAACATGTAGGATTTGCCATCCATGCTCCCAAGACCTGTCACAATAGCCGGATCATCATAGCCAGCACGATCTCCATGTAGTTCCACCCACTATAACATTTTCGTTTTGAGAGAAAAAAGTAAGAGCTCTGATTACTAATTGTTATGCAGTCATACAAACGGAAGTTCTAATCTGATGTATATCACCAACTACCTTCTCTGTAATGTTCAAAATATGATCAAGAACTGTCGGTCTGTTGGGATGTCGAGCGATAGATAGCCGTTGGATCGGTGTCAAATGTTTGTATAAGTCCTTCAGGGCCTGAACTTGAAGTAAAGAAGGATTGGAAGCCGCATCATTAAGATATTACCGATAAAATGTATGAATTTATTGTGAATTCTGATATAGTTCAATGAGTCAAAATCTTCTCAGCAGAGCCAGATATATGATCAAACACTTATGCCAAGTTTGAAATTATTTCGAACAACTTAAGGATGAAGTCAAATGTGAATTTCTCACACAGCTCATGCAATTTCACTCCGAGAAGCAACTTTGACAAATAGTAGGGATTGCCGGACTTGAATTCTCTACCTGTTGATACTTGTTCTCCAGTGCAGCAATTTGATCGCTGAAGTCCAGACCAGTTTCATCAGCCATTCCACGTATCTGCACGAAGAGGATCGAATAAACGCCAAAAATTTGAAAAAGGGCTCAAAGTATAAGCTGGTTGTTCATTTTACCGGTTCAATATTATGCAGAATATGCTCTAGGTAACAATAAAATCATGACAGCAACAAACCTCATTAATCTTTTTCTCGAGATCAACAAGTGGCTTCTCGAATGGTAGGGTAACTTGCTTTGGTTTCTCAGTCAGAGGCTTGAAATGAGACAGGTAACTCAAGTGGCCACTGCTGATGTTTGGATCGATATCATGAGGCCATGGATAATCATAGTTCTTCCCCTTTTTAATTTTCGCGCTAACATGAAACTTGCTCTGGTTTCTAATCCTATGAACTTCCAAATCCTTGGACCTGATTCCATTTGCCCTTGTAAAAGAACTTCTAAGCAATTCACTAGCAAAAAGATCCTTTCCTGAAAACGGATGGAACAATTCTAATCCACGATCTTCTCCTCCGCTTCTTCTTCCACAATTTCCAGCAATTAGTGATAGGGTAGTCATCTCATTAAACAACTCACTACCTTCTAAATCAATACATCACCTGCCAAATTTTCACATGCTGCACTCTGCATTTACACAAAAATGCAAGTTTCTTTGAAATTAGTACAGACCGACGGAACAAACTAGTGAATCAGAAAAGCTTTGATTCATTTGCCTGTTTCCGACACATGAATACCAAAGAGGGCAAACGGAAACACTTTTTCATGTTACTAGCGAAAGAAAAGCAAACGACCAACAATCACAAACTAAGCACACAAAATTTGAAGATAACAATGAAATTTTTAGATTAACTGCGAATGTATTGCAAATTTGTTTCATAATCAAGAATGCCCTTCGCCTTTGGAAATCCAAGCAAAAGGGGACCTGAATTCTCACCAGAGCCAGATCTTCCCTAATGAAAGAGTTACAATGAGGGCTTCAATTGGAAAAGTCAGGTAAACTTAAAAGAAGAAAAAGTAAAAGGAACCAACAACCAGATAAGGCCAAGCTGGAAAAGCAATAAACAATCAGCATCCATCACTCAATTTGTCTAGATAAAGGGCTATGAGAAGTGCCCAATTTAAACAAGTCCCTAATTAGGACATAAAATAATTAATTAACAACCTCACTACTCCATCAATATATACATAATACACATTCAGAATTCAAGTTCATGAGCTTACCACTGCATCCAAAACCACTTAATTCCCATGCGTATTAAGTCCTGCTTCAAAAGCTCAAACATTTTCATCTAAAACACAAAAAATAATCAAAAGGGCACATTAAAAACCATCAAATTTTCTTCCTTTCTGCTTTTACTCAATTTTCTGAGAAACCAAACAAGAAATAAGCATATGGGTACCTTAGAACTTAAGCAAAAACTGCAAAGGTCTTGACTTTTTAGCGCCAACAATCCAGATAAACTTCTGTAGCAAGACGTTTTCAGAAAAACAAAAATTGAAGAAGAGAATGTTGGCAAATTTTTTACTGTTTTTTTCCGTTGCCAGTTACAGGTTGGCTGCTAAATCCCGGTAAAGTGGGACAGTGGCAGAGCAGGTCTAGACGGAGGTGGAAAAAGGTGATTGGGAGGTGTGATGCACGTGCTTTGAACTTTGAAGGTGGATTGGATAGGATATGCAATGCTGCGTGGAGAAGATACGCCCATCGTCTAATGAGATGAGGATAACACTTCCACCTACATCGGGGCCTACTAAAAGAAAAACTATGTATATATACCGTCATTGAGGCAATGGAGTCGGTAAAGTTGACAATGAATTCCACGTAATTAGAGATCATGTATATGTTTATAAATAATTACGTTATTTCTTATATATTCAATTAATTTTATAGTGAAATTTTAATTTTTTTTCAAATAATACATTATGTGAATACATAATCTGCACAAGACATTATAGTGATACCGTACGCGTGTTATGAATTTTATTTTTTTTAATAAACGATATTATCTATACTAAAAGGAGAGGGTGGACTTGGCCTCACAATGGATTAGCAATAATGTGGTTCAAACTCGTCTTTGGCGAAAATTGAACCTAATACCTCTCACTTACAAGTGAAAAATAATAATACTAGACCATAGTATTAAGTGGTATAAAGAATAATAATAGACGCGTTTTATGTTAACATTCTTAGATAGATGCAAGTGTTGGACGGCCCTGGAAGTTAAGGGATTCTTTTTCCACCCAATGATTGCTTTCTTTAGTCAAAACCAAACCAAATCGGCCACTACAATTCGAACTCTACATCATGAATTCAGTCAGATTGATGCCCATTCCTAAGACTGGTCCTTGCCATTCGATGGATGAGGCATCACAACATTCAGAAAATTTGGATACGGTAAAATTGTTTTTTGATACCATCAACATCGATAGTGTGGGAAGAGGTGATTAGCCATTTGATATGGTAGGGCTCACATTTTCACTTTGTCGAAAGAGATATTCTCAATTTGACAGTATAGGTTTAACCAAAAAAGAATTCAAGTCATATAGATTATATTAGCCATCTCTAGCCAAAGATATATAGGTCACTTTTAGTATGAATGTGTGTAAAGTGCATATTCAGAAAGAGCTATTTATAGATTCGAGGGCTACTTACAAGTAGCAAGTATTTAAATATCTGAAAAGCTTTTCGTGGAATTCACGTGAGCATTCTATCTCTTTCTTCTCAATATTTTTTTTTTCTCTAGCCAAAGATATATAGGTCACTTTTAGTCTGAATGTGTGTAAAGTGCATCTTCAGAAAGAGCTATTTATAGGTTCGAGGACTGCTTACAAGTAGCAAGTATTTAAATATCTGAAAAGCTTTTCGTGGAACTCACGTGAGCATTCTATCTCTTTCTTCTCAATATTTTTTTTTCTCTAAATAAATCAATTTTTTTTTGGATTTTGGTTGCATGTAATTTGATAATCTGCTTGTATAGTAATTAGTATCCTATATTCCATATGATAATGAACTCTTGTGCCAATTTTTTTAAACAAAGTGGCAGTCTATAAAAATTGCTCAAACTAAGTTGTAGAATTTTGCAAGTGAATTGGCCAAATAAAACTGAAAACATTGAGAAGCCCAACAAAATTGGGCTGAAGAATAACTTCAAATCAGAAGCCCAACAAAACTGGGCTGAAGGCCCTTTTTCGATTCCAACCCGAAAAACCGAAAACATTTCAACGAAATGGTTCGGTTTCTCTGTTCTTTTCCCTTCCCATACCGTTCGATTCGGTTTTCGAACAAACCATTTCACTTCGGTTTTCGTACCCTACAACTAATACTTAAAAAAAGAGAGGAACAATCAGGGTTGGGAACACTCACTGAGGCATTTCAACCTCTATTGACCACGAATCTAACTTCCTACTTCCATATCAGTAATAGATTTCGAATCTAAAACCTTTAATTTTTAATTTGAATAAAACTTTGCAATCTGTCTTTTACCACTGACCAGCTCCTAGTTACCCCTGCAACTAATACTATCAAACAGAAACACCCAAAATTTCTAGCTACGCCAGCGCAAGAGGGTCCTTTGACACATTGTCACAGATCAAAGATATGTTCAAAAAGCTACAGCTAGAAACAAAGTATATAAGATTGGGATTAAGCGTATCAATTTGGAATTTTGCAATGGAGTGTGGGACCCTAGGAATATAACAAAACTAGAATGGTGCAAAAACTAGAGCGCAAGCAAAGGCCAAATATCAAATATAAATACTTCCACTTTACACGCAGACCGAATCATTTCATTTGCATAAGTTTTGCTGCACCTCCCTTCTTCAAGCTTTGCAGGTGAGAGCATCTTTCTCTTTTGCAAGAACAAAATTTGACTTCATGTTTTATTGCATCAAATAGTTAACTGATTGGATTAAATTCTGTTCTTTTTATGAGCTTTACTTATCTGAGTTTATTGTTTCTGAATCAATTTTTGTCTTGTCAATTTAGGCACACTGAACCGAGTTCATTTCTTGAGCTGAAAACCTGAAACTGAAGGTAACCCTGTTGCATAATTTGATCACTTGGAAGATATAACTGCTGGGTTTTGTTTAATATGTCTCATATTCTTGGAGTTGTGATTAAATTTGATAACTTGATTCTGTAAATATCTGGGTTTTACTTTTTGGTGATTCTGGTGAAATGTTTTTGAAAAGTTTTAATGAGTGAATTTGGAGCATGACTGGTTTGATGGTGTTTTTGTCCGGTAATTTTCGGATTAGTGTGTCAAAGTTATTGTCTTTATCATCCTTATTTGATTGTTGGGGTGTCACACTTCAGGAATTTTTGCTTTATTTGATTCTTTGGTAATACAGCACGCTAAATTGAAAATCACTAGAATATGCAATAACACCATATCATCAATACTAACTGTTTTCGATGATTCTATTGCAGCACTTGCAGATGACAATGGAAGTTCGGGGAGGAGATGAGATTCATAATTGTGCGATCAAGCTGGTTAGTTTTACTTCTTTCATTTTTTTTTTTTTTTCAATTTTGTTTGCCTTAAATATTCTCATATTCAAAATCTTTCTGGCTAATTAAATTAAGACTAGGAGAGTTGATTATGTTGAGTTTGAATTGTAGAGAGATAATCCTGAGAAAAGAAGAGACAAGGTTTACATTGGCTGTGGGGCTGGGTTTGGAGGTGACAGGCCTTTGGCAGCTCTTAAATTGCTACAGAGGGTCAAGGAGCTGAACTATATCGTGCTTGAATGTCTAGCAGAACGTACTCTTGCCGAGAGGTATCAAGTTATGGTGTCGGGTGGTGATGGTTATGACTCTAGGAGTATGTATCTGTTATTCATAGATGCCTTATGATCTTCTTCATTTATTAATTAGGTTTATGTTAATTATTTTGGTTAACATTTGCCACTTGCTTCTGTTGGTCATCCTCTGGTACATTTCAATGACTCTGCAGTTTCTGATTGGATGCGGTTGCTTCTACCTTTGGCTGTTGAGAGTGAAACCTGCATAATCACCAACATGGGTGCAAGTGAGAAATGCAGTCTGCAAAATTCTAACTTTTTCTCTTGACTACAAATTTCTGCTAAGTGGAGCTTTTTATTTGTCTGAATATTTTCCTTTGTTTTTGTGGCAAGTGGATCCACATGGCGCACAAGAGAAGGTTATAGAGATCGCCGGCAGCTTGGGGCTGAACATTTCTGTTGCTGTGGCTCATGAGGTTTCTATTACAAACACAGGTAATTAGTAGTGAACTTTTCTAAATCAAATATATAACGATATGCGGTTTCCTACAGACCAAGTATGACACAGTCCTTATTTCAACAGAGGCTTATTACAGGATTGAATTACACTTTTTCCCGTTTTATATAAAGACAATCCATTTCTTACAATACACATGTTTCAATTGTCTATGTAGGTTCAGGATCCTCTCATGAGAAGTCATATATCATGGAAGGTGTAAGAACCTTATACTCTTGCATAACTTTCGTTCGTTCATGATTTGTGTATAGGCAATGTTTTTTGTTTTTTGTTTTCTGATGCCATCACATGTTAGTAACACAATTGTGGGAATCCTTTCTTTCCATGAGCATTTTACTCCAGAAATCATGTGAAGCGTGCAAACTAGTGTTAATATTATGTTTCTTGTGAATCATATGAAGAGTGGGTTTGACTAATAGAGATTGATTCCTGTTCTCTTTTCCTTTTATATTGTACTTGTAAACAGTAGACCTCATATTTTGTTCTAATTCCTGAAGGGTATTAGCACGTATCTGGGAGCAGCTCCAATTGTCGAATGTTTGGAAAAGTATCAACCAAATGTAATAATTACTTCACGGGTTGCAGATGCTGCCTTATTTTTAGCACCTATGGTAAGAAATTTGACCGCTTAGGATATATCTTTTATTGTTTCTAGGAAAAATATCATAGCCTTGTGTGAGGGGTGTGCAACTCAAAGCCAAGCATTGAGCGGGCAGAATGAGTGCACTTACCAGTTACCACCACATGACACTTAGTGCTGGAGTTTATTCTGAAAAAAAATGAAAGAAAAAAAAAATGTACCTTGTTTAGTAAAATGTGTACATCTATACCTTTTCTCAAGCTTGCTTTATTGCTCAAATTCTGTATGCTAAATCCTTAATCAGTTTTCTCAGAGGAAAAGTAGTCTTGGTCATTAATTCAAGTAAATGAAGCCTTTGATACTTATTGCGATGGTTACTTAAATCTTTTCAACCATAAGACGTATAGTTTATATTTGGTCCTGCAGTAATGAACTACAAAAGGTCATATTATCTGTTGACTGATATAAAGGTCATATCGTCTATCGGTCCTTTATGATCATATGTTATAAAAGATGAAATATTGTTGAAGTTTTTTTAGGAAAAGATGAGTACCTTATAGTTTTATCAAAATGGACTGCAGTGATTGAACAAAATCAAATTTTTCTTTTTGTGGTAAAATTATGTGAGCTAATGAAGTATATGCTCAAAGACACACTGATTATTTGTACTGTTGGCCTAATTGCTTGGAGTAATTCTATCTTTATCTGAAATTATATTTTAATACTAATGATTCTATAAAATATTTAGTCCTCTTGCTTGGTTACTATTTCTGTACTTATTTCCTTTGAGAAGGAATGCTGAATGATATTACTGGGGTATTGATTAGATCTACGAACTCGGTTGGAACTGGGACAATCTGGAGCAGCTAGCACAGGGGTCTCTGGCAGGCCATCTTCTAGAGTGTGGCTGTCAACTAACAGGAGGCTACTTCATGCATCCAGGTGATTTTTTATTTTTGTTAAACTCCACCTTAGCACAGTATGGAGTTACTAAGATAGAATTACAACTTATTTTTTTTTGTTCATGTGATTTCTTTATGCAAGCATTTTCTCTTTCTGTAGGAGACAAATCTCGAGATATGTCTTTATCTCAGCTCCTGGATTTATCACTTCCTTATGCTGAAATTAGCTCTGATGGAAAAGTATGTGTGGCGAAGGCAGAGGGTAGTGGTGGAATTTTAAATATAAGTACTTGTGCTCAACAACTTCTGTATGAGGTTGGAGATCCAGGTGCTTATGTTACTCCTGACGTGGTAAGTTGTACTAGTGTATTCAAGCATTTGTTATGGAGAACAGGGGAAAAATAAGAAACTAAAAATAATGTTCTATAGTGCAGACAATTGATATTCGGGATGTTTCATTTTACCCGTTATCAAGTTGTAAGGTTATCTGTGCTGGAGCAAAACCATCTGCAGTATCAGTGCCTGATAAACTGCTGCGGTTGGTTCCAAAAGTAAGATTCTGGTGGTTTATGATTAAGTTTGAACAAATGCATAAAAACTGAAAGGTTCAGTTTTCTCTGCATGTAAGCACTTTAATACTGTTATTGGCGAATACTCAACTTTCTAGTTTTCAGGACTTCGGTTGGAAAGGATGGGGAGAAATATCGTACGGCGGATATGAATGCGTTAAACGTGCCAAGGCTGCAGAGTTTCTGGTAGATAAACTCAAAACCTTTAAACTGTGTGACTCTGCGAATATGTGAAAATTTAGTTAGTTTTGACTTTTTCGAATGGCATCCTTCATATTGATTCCGCTTTACTTGAAACCTCCAACCAGTTTAGCTATTTCCTGTTTCCATATCAACTAGGTTCGATCATGGATTGAAGAAGTAATTCCTGGTGTTAGCAGCCATGTAATTTCATATATAATTGGGCTTGATAGCTTGAAGGCAACCAGTCTTAGTGACAATGCTTCATCTCGGATGGTTAGCGACATCAGGTTACGCATGGATGGGTTATTCAAGCTAAAGGAACATGCAGTCCAATTTATTAGAGAGTTTACTGCTTTGTATACAAATGGACCAGCTGGTGGTGGTGGTATCAGGTAAATTTCGCATCAGGCTTTGCATAATTTTTCCTCCCAAATTAGCATTTTGTTGCTTAAGAAAGTTGAACTTCGCCTTTCTCGTTTTTGTGGCTTGGCAGCCTTTTAAATTATCTGTTACATGACTATACTGTATTTAATCAATGCAGCACCGGACACAAGAAAGAGATAATCCTTGAAAAATATTTGGTATTCCCTTGCTCTCTCTCCTCACCTCCGCAATTATTAACCCTTTTGATTTTCTTTCAACAACCTATTCGATGAACTTGAAACTTTGACCATAAGTAGCGTATTGTCATTATTAGTTTTTAAACCCCTTCCCCTTTTTTTCTTGTTGATCATTTTTCCTTATTGTACCCCTTGAAGTTAACCAAACTTGTAATAGTTTTGACTGATAAGGTCAGGTTTTCAATCAAATTGGTGATAGATTTTTGTTACACTCATAACAGTATGTGGTGGAAGTGAAGAAATTCTGAAGAAAAAAATAAATTTGTCTGATCTTTCAGGTCAAGCGGGAACACGTACTATGGCGGACTGCAGTAAAGCACACCAAAGCGATAGATTCAAGTAATTTAGGAATCCGAGTTGAAGGTGGCACAAATATCTGTCCTCTGTATGAGTCTGCATTGCCAATGACACATTCTAATGAAGTCAATTCTTCTACAAATTTGGATAACCGATTTTCTGGCAGTGCAAAATCTCCTGCTCCATCTGGTCGGAAGATTCCACTCTATGATGTAGCACATGTCCGGGCTGGAGACAAAGGAAATGACTTGAATTTTTCCATCATCCCTCATTTTCCTCCAGATATAGTGAGATTAAAGTCGATCGTAACACCCCAGTGGGTAAAGCAAGTGGTCTCAGCCCTTCTAAACTCGTCTTCGTTCCCAGACATGGATGCTATCAACGAAAGAGACAAATGGATCCATGAAAATGTAAAGGTGGAAATTTATGAAGTTAGGGGAATCCGATCACTAAATGTTGTGGTTCGGGACATTCTTGACGGTGGTGTAAACTGCTCTAGAAGGATTGACCGACACGGAAAGACCACCTCAGATCTCATACTGTGCCAGCAAGTTGTGTTGCCTCCATGGTTGGGTCGTTCCAATACTCTTATAGCATGATTTCCTCTAATGGGGTGACTTATGATTTAATTCTTGTATTCTAGAGTTGAATGTGAAACATTTTGATTCTCAGAATTCTTGGTTTTGATGATTTGTAAGTTATGTTTTCATTCAGATAAAGAGAAAAAGAGTCATGTATTCCAACTTCTAGCAACGTATGTGCTGCTGAAGAATGGAAAAAGTTCCACATCGAAAAATTGACAAAATAAAATACGATGTATAATGGTCTTATTACCAAATTGCACTGAGACTTTTTATAATGAAATCTCACACCTGATGTGCTAGTAGGTAGCGATGTACAAATCAAGGACAATGATTAGTAATGGGTCGTTGGTTCGTCTCTCTTGATATTTACTAATCTGTAATGACTACATTTTGGAAATATAATTTACAATAGCAAGTGGGATTTTTTAAAATAACCCATATTTCCAGCTAAAATTATCATTCACTCACTTTTATTTATCTTATGGCCAGGGCCACCTAATTGCTTGAACACTATCTTTTGGCATTGCTAATCAGATGGTTGGCCCTTACAAATTTGCAATTTCCTGCATTGGACAATAAAGAAACATACTATCTTTAACCAACTTAACTACCAACAACCAGGAAGCTAAACATTTGGCTATCATTTTGTCATCGAAAAGGTCAGATCACCAACCTTGTTTTACTCCAATCCAGTCGGATGACTTCCACAATTAGGGTAATAAATTACTCCCTTCACTTGTCCTCCATTTAGCAGCGTTACGAAATCCATTATAATCTGATATAAATTAGGTTTTGTTCAGACAAATCAGAGACTTTGCTCAGTCCCTTTTCAGATTTGTCTGAGGTACCGGTAGCAAGCACGGTGCTTCCCCTTGTTGAACTTGCCTCGGATTTCTCAGGCACCTGAGTTGAAGACAAAGACTGCATACCTTTTCGGGTTTTTTGTTTCGATCTGTTTGAATAAGGAAGACAATGGCGTTTACAGGAACTCTGGATAAATGCAGCGCCTGTGATAAGACTGTTTATGTTACCGAAATGTTGTCCCTTGAAGGAGTACCTTATCATAAATCCTGCTTCAAATGCAGCCACTGCAAGGGATTTCTCTCGGTATATACATCGCTTTTCACCTTTTAACTTTGTTTAGGTTTGCAACAGATGCGTGTAGGCTTTCTCCGGTTTTGGGGACGATTCTCAACAATTGATTGATTTGTAAAACTCACATCAATGGTTGAAAATCGCTCATGCATGCGTCGTTTTAAGTTGAGTATAACATGTTATGACTCAGAAGTTAGACCTAACAAAGAAAGATGGACTTAACGTAACTTTCAATACCTAAGAGTCATGAACAATTGCAAAGTTAATTTGATAACTATAATTAAGCCTTCATTTATTTGAAAGATCATAAATCTTGGTTAAATATTTCCAAATATGAAAAGGATCAAGAATTATGTATATAATTTTGACAGATGAGCACCTATTCCTCCATGGATGGAGTCCTCTACTGCAAACCTCATTTCGAGCAGCTTTTCAAGGAATCTGGGAATTTCGGCAAAAATTTCGGTGAGTTTTTTTTTTTTTTCTCTTCATATCTTTAATTATTCTATTTTTTAAAAAATAATCTGCATCATTGAATAACTACTTCTTTTGTTTTCCCTCTGTTTGCTAACAGTATGTTGTTTTCTGATGAATTTTTTTTTGCAGCAAAATCTGCCGAGAAGCAGGGCGAACAACTGGTATGTATACATTGTCACATCCAAACTTGGTCTAAGTTCGGATTTTACATTTCGGATACACTAACCATTGGATTTTGATCGAATGATTGATGCCGACGGATTTTCTTGATCAATAGGGAGTCAGGGACCAAGTGATCAAAACTCTATATAAATTTGTATCATATAATTTGCTCTTAAAATTGCAGTAACATGACATATGAACTGTATGATGTTATACAGAATAGGGCCCCCAGCAAGCTCTCTTCCATGTTCTGTGGAACCCAAGACAAGTGTGCAACTTGCTCAAAGACAGTCTATCCACTGGAGAAGGTAAGTTATATAATTAAGGAGATAAATTTGATTTCAACGAGCCTTTTATTTCCTTAACAAGCGATAGTTTTATTATATTGAATTCATATAAACTACGGGGAGGGGGATTCAATCTATGGTGCAGAGGGTGGAGCACACTGCTCTATCCAATTTGATTTCAATGAGCCATTGAAAAATGCAACATTTGCCAAAAACGCATATAAGCAGTTCCCATGTTTATAACATGTTGGCTGCATAGATATAGTAATTACTAACAAACGCTACTTGACTCCTTACATACGAGGAATCATTTATTTTTATCTATAAATCAGAGTTTGACACAAACGCAAACGGAACTCATTGAAATCATGAAATGAAAGTTTGTACTCACATGTGAGACGAATAAGTAATTGTTTTGTGATATTGTAATTTAAACAGGTGACATTGGAGGGAGAAAGTTACCACAAGTCATGCTTCAGGTGTGCTCATGGGGGCTGTCCCCTTACACATTCATCCTATGCGGCTCTTGATGGAGTCCTTTACTGCAAGCACCATTTTTCTCAGCTCTTCCTGGAGAAAGGGAACTACAGCCATGTTCTCCAGGCTGCTGCAAATAGGAAAAATGCCACATCTGCTGAAGCAACTGACGAAGCAGCTGCCGCTGCTGAGGCCGCCTCCAAGGAGGCGCAACCAGAACCAGAATCAGAATCTAAGGACCAGACTGACCAGCCACCTGAGGAGTCTTAAAAATGCTTTTTGTGCCACATCTCTTCCTCTTGCTTTTCAGAGTAACTTGAAAACTTCATTTTTGTTCTTTTGGCTGAAAAACCCTCCTCATCTTGTTCAAATATATGTATAATTTGTTCACATATTACTTTCAGACTGTAAGCTGATTTTGGTTGCTTGTTTTAAACAAAATCACATGGATATTAAATGTATCCAATTTTTTTTTTCCATTTTCTTGAGAAATTAATTTGGGAAACTTAACATTTGTAACAATTCAAATAAATTATGTTCATTCAGTTCACGATTGTTAAGAATTTGGGGATTCAGAGAAGTGCTCCTATATTCACTTTTCTGCTTAGTTTTTTGACTAGGCCAAAAGCGCGAGAGATTCTCTTTTGCAACTAATGACATTATGTGACAACTATCTAACGATTTCAGGATCTTGTGTGAAATTCATAATGGGGCCTTCTTATGACAATCTTAAAAAAAAAAGTTTGAACAATGCATTGATGCTAAAAAGCACTAACTAAAACTGAAACAAACTTTAAAAATCAGGCTAATTATCAGTTTCCAAATATCATATAATGTAAAGAAAGCTACAAAAATAATCATATTACTTAATAGTTAGCAATCAGTTCAATATTAAGAAACCAAATGAACAAAAGCTTCAAAAAGTCCCGAATTGAAGTTTAACTTAGAGATAGTTCTTCGTGCATTCTTTGCTGCAAAAGTAACAAATACATCAACAAAATTTTGTATGCAATCCTTGCAGTTGGAAACAACAATCCTCTCAAGTAGTCCAACATGTCAATGAATATCTTCATTTCTTTCGGCAAATGCTCTCGGAAAAACTTCAACTCTACAAATAATGCATTCTTGTCAACATTAAAAAAAAAAAAAATCACATTTCTTGAGAAAATTTTGAAAACGATTACAACAATCTTTAAATTTATTATTATCTATTGAATTCAACCTTTTCCAACGTAACAAAAACCTAATATATATGTCATATGCACTTCACAGTTTTCTTGAAGCACGAGATCAACTTTCATAAAATTTGATGTAATAATATTATATTAAATAGAAATTTATTTGGGAGCCCTTATATTTTGAGGCCAGGTGCGATTGAACGCTTCGCTCCCTACCCACAACTGCCTTTGATCTAACGAATGGATGATGTATATTATGGTTGCTATCTTTAAGTTCATTGAATTCTGTTAAAACTAGCTATATCCAAATAAATTCTCTCATTTTATATGTTCGACTTTCTTTATTGTTACACTATTTTGCCAAAGTTTCAGAATTGCTTTTAGCCAAAAGGTTTTCTAATAAAAGTTAACAATAATGAGGAAACCGCAATTCTTCTTCCCTCTTTGTAGGAAAGAAAAAGGGAAGCACACACTTCATGAAGAGAAGCAACACAAACTCCCCCTAATGTTAGAACCATTAACTAGAATGGAAGCTGATCCCCATTTAAGTAAGAAAAGGTGTAACGGGTGCAGTCAACGTTGCATCCCAGACAAAGAAAACAATATGTCACTTGGAGGAATATAACTATATGGACCAGGTTCATTGTCACTATTAAGTTCAGTCTTTTATTGCAGCGTTCTGTGAAAAAATGACTTACATATAGCATTGTATTAGTGAATCAGAATGTTACGAGAACAATACCGGATACAATAAATCCTCCCCTGCATAGATCCATATAGAATCTGGTGTATCATTCAATCGAGAGTTAAGTCGTTATACATCTAATATCTATGGAGTTTGATTGACTTTGTCTGGGAAAGATATATAGTAACAAAGAGGGAAAGATCTATAGTAACAAAGAGGGAAAGATATCACCTCTGTATGCATGACGAGCAATCGACAAATAGCGACCAAGAAATCTGGAAAAATCACCGACGAACACTGACGAGAGCACTAACTTAAAACTTTCGATGAAATCACTGACTTGCAAGATCGGAGAAGAAGCTCCAAACAATGGCAAGAACTAATTAACGAAGAAACTGTTAGACGAAGTCAACCTCAAGATAATTCCACCGTGCTTTGAGGAGTCCAGCGTACTTCCAAGAGTTTGTTTATGTTTGAACTCCTCACTGATTAGGCTTCCTTGTTTATAAGATGTATCTTTTCAATATTTGTAATATGTAGCTTTCTGTTATGTATCTTTTGAATTTTGAATCTCCTTGTAAATAGGGTTTTCAAACCCTCAGTTGTAATCATGTTGAAGCTATAAATACAGGCAATCCACAGTTTAATGGGTATGCAAACAAAGTGAAAACCTACGATCTTAAGTTCTATATGGTCTTTAGAGCCTTTTTTGTCTAACGACAAAGATCCTAGTCTTGTCATTATTCCCAACATCGCTTCCATGGTTAAAAACAATGTTCCATTTGTTCCAGTTGTTCCTGTTGTTAACCCAACCCCCAAAACACCACCTTCCAACCCTTCTCCACTATTGTCACCATCAAATTAGATAGAACCAACTACCCACTGTGGTTGGCACAAATTCTCCTTATTATGAAAAGTCAGGATCTGATGGGCTACGTTAATGGCACGTTGCTATGCCTTGCAAAACATGTTGATGGTTCAGCCACTGTGAATCCTACGTATACAACTTGGGTGCAGCAGGATCAAATGATCCTCAACTGGATTAATGGATCTCTCACTACTTCTGTCTTGTATGTGGTAGCAAGCAAAAGAACTGCTCGAGCTATCTGGGAAGCTCTTGAGCAAAGGTATGCATCCATATCTCAAAATCGAATTTTGTTTCTGAGAAATACATTGTTGCAGACAAAAAAAAGTGATCTATCTGTGGCGGATTACCTGGATTGAATGAATGCAATAGCTGACAACCTTGCCCTTGCTGGGCAACCTGTGAGTGATGAAGAACTGGTTCAGATTGTGTTGAATAATCTTGGGCTAGCGTTCGAGATGATTGTGAGTGTTGCACAAGCTCGTGACACTCCTATCATATATCTAACTCTTGAATCCATGTTGCTGACTATGGAACGGAGATTGGTAGAACACAATGTCCCTTTGGCTGAAGGCGCTACTGCCAATGCCTTTGTGGCCTCACGAGGACGTGGTGGTGGTTTCGTGGTGGAGGACGAGGCAACCCCTCAAACCGTGGTGCACTTCCAAGAGGGAACAACCTTCGCAACACCAATCATCCGCAGAACAACCAAGGTAATGGAGACAGGTTTGTTTCTTGTGGAGAAAGAATTGTCTGTCAAATTTGTGGCAAACTAGGTCATCCTGCACTTGACTGCTATCAACGCATGAATACTGCATTTGAAGGCAGAATACCAACCAAACGTCTTTCAGCAATGACGTCATCACCTATCACCCTTAACAAACAACATAATTGATCTTCGCTCCTCGACACAGGTGCCAATGCACACATTACCCCAGATCTTTAAAATTTGGACAACCCCAAAGAATATAATGGTAATGAAGGTGTGGGAGGTGTAGGTAATAATATTGGTATCTCTATTGCACACTATGGTTCAAATCAACTTCAAACTAATGCTTGCTCTTTTGTTTTAAGAGATGTCTTTCACTGTCCTAATGCATCCACTAATATTCTTTCTGCCCATAGGTTTACCCTAGATAATGATTGTTACTTACTAATTTTTCCACATTTTTTCCTTGTCAAGGACCTCAAGACACAGAAGACGTTTTTCTGAGGGAGATGTGAGAATGGGTTGTACCCATTTCCAGATGGCAGTGGACACCTCAATCATTCTGTATTTGCATTTGTGGGAGTAAGGGTCTCGGCTCAAAAGTGGCATGCTCATCTTGGCCACCCCGCCAAACCAATAATAAAATTTTTAGTTACAAATAAAATGGTACCTATTCATGGTACTTGATATGTAACCTTTTGTGAGTCATGTCCTCTAGGTAAAAGTACTAGGTTACCTTTCAATATTTCCGAGTCTATGTCTCAATTTCCTTTGCAACTTTTACACTTTGATGTGTGGTGTTCTCCAGTTATTTCTAATGAAAGTTTTCGTTATTATGTGTTGTGTGTTGTTTGGCCGAACACAAACATAGCCACATTGTTGAAACTGCAATTGTCATGCTTTCTCAGTCTTCCATGCCAAAAAAAATTTGGTTTGATGCATGTTTAACTGCTACATAATTAATCAATCGCTTGCCAACGCGTGTTCTATCAAACACATCACCATTTGAGAAAATGTTTCATAGGAAACCAAATTATGACATGTTGAAAGTCTTTGGTTGTCGTTGTTTTCCCTGGTTAACACCATACAATCAAAATAAATTGCAACAAAAATCTAAACCATGTGTTTTTCTCGGATATTCCCTAAATCATCAAGGATACAAATGCTTCGATCTGTCCACGAGACGAGTTTATTTGTCTCTCCATGTCCTGTTCGATAAGGATTTCTTCTCTTTTAAGGGACTCACATCTTCTTCTAAAAGTGTTGATGCACCAGGTAACAATCACTTGTCCCAATTATTATTTACGTTCCCATCACCGAGTACTTCTACGATGCTTGTTTTGTCTAGTCCTAGTCAAACTAATCCTCTTCCTATCCCACAAATTTCTCCTACCACTAATTCCGCACCATCTTCAGACTCCCATCCTGATGCTACCACCGTGCCAAATATAAACCCTTCAATTGTTAACTCACCTACATCTTTTTCACCTGTCGAACCTAGGCTGCCCTTAGGACCCTCCCTACCATCAAATGAGCAAGTATTATTGGATTCACAACCTGTGCATATTAATGAGCCTCGTGGTACAAGTCATTCAATGACTACACGTTTCAAGTCAGGGGTCATCAAACCTAATCCCAAGTATGCTATGCATGTTGCATTTGATTCAGTTTTTGTTGAACTTACCTGTTACAGTCAGGCAATGAAGCATGAGGAGTGGCGATATGCTATGGTGCAGGAGTTCAATGCTCTACAACGATGTAGGAACTGGAGTTTAGTTCCATATCATCCTAACATGAACATGCTCCCAAACAAATGTGTGTTCAAGTTTAAACGAAAAGCAGATGGTACTAAGAGCGTCACAAAACTCGTTTAGTAGCCAATGAAATTCACCAAAAAGCTGGCGTGGATTATAATGAGATTTTCAGCCCTGTGGTTAAGCACAACACGACTCGACTTGTTATGAGTTATGCCGTGTCCAAGAAGTGGGTTATGTGCCAACTCGACGTTCAAAATGCGTTTCTACACGGCTATTTAACTGAACATGTTTTCATGCGTCAACCATCGGGTTTGATTGATCAGCAGTTTCCAAATCATGTCTGTAAGTTGCAACGTTCTATTTATGGTTTAAAACAAGTGCCTATGGCTTGGTTTCAACGCTTTTCAGACTTCTTACTTCAACTGGGCTTTGAAGAATCTACATGTGATTACAATTTTTTTGTCTTCAATAAAAGGGGTTTATATCCTATTCTGTTAATCTATATAGATGACATTCTAATTACAGGAACTAGTTCTACTTAAATGGCGCATTTGATAAAGAAACTTGGCAGTTTATTTTCCATGAAGGACTTGGGGCCATTGAATTATTTCCTGGGTATTGAGGTCAAATATAATGGTGATTCCATGCATCTCAGTCAGTCTAAGTATGCCTTAGACTTACTCACGAGAACTAAGTTCACAGAAGCCAAACCTATTTCTACTCCGGTGGTGACTGGTCAGAAATTAAGTGCCTATGATGGTGATCCACATGAAAATCCAGAAATGTATCGTAGTGTTGTTGGTGCTCTACATTATCTCACGATAACTCGGCTTGATTTGTTGTACGCTGTAAATCAGGTGTGCCAGTTTATGCACTCACCGAAGAACACACATTGGGCAGCGGTCAAACGAATACTTCGTTACTTGAAAGCTACGTTTAATCATGGCTTACTGTATAAACCAGGAGATGCAAAGTTAACAGCCCATTTTGATGCAGATTATGCTGGTAACCTAGATACTCGTCATTCTACCGGTGGTTTTTGTATTTATTTGGGTTCAAAGCTTGTTTCCTGGAGTTCAAAAAAGCAGAAGACCGGCTCCAAATCGAGTGCCGAGGTGGAGTACCAGTAATTAGCTTATACTGCAGCTGAGTTATCTTGGTTACAGTCATTATATAGAGATCTCCATTTGCATCTGGTTCAACCAATAATCTGGTGTGACAATGTTGCTTCGATTGCTCTTGCCTCCAATCCCGTTTTTCATTCCAGAACCAAACATTTGGAAGTGGACTATCATTATGTTCGTGAGAAAGTTTTTCGTGGTCAACTCTTGGTACAATATGTTTGTTCTCAGGACCAGCTCACTGAAATTTTCACTGAAGGTCTATCTTTGTCAAGATTTAAATTCCTTGTTTCCAAGCTTCTAGTTGTTTCACAACCTGTTAGCTTGCGGACTGTTAGACGAAGTCAACCTCAGGATAATTCCACCGTGCTTTGAGGAGTCCAACGTACTTCCAAGAGTTTGTTTATGTTTGAACTCCTCACTGATTAGGCTTCCTTGTTTATAGGATGTATCTTTTCAATATTTGTAATCTGTAGCTTTCTGTTATATATCTTTTGAATTTTTAATCTCCTTGTAAATAGGGTTTTCAAACCCTCAGTTGTAATCATGTTGAAGCTATAAATACAGGCAACCCACAGTTTAATGGGTATGCAAACAAAGTGAAAACCTACGATCTTAAGTTCTATAAAAACAACACCAAGAACAATCACCGACAAGCACTATGAGCAGAAGCAGTAAGATTGCAATAAATGGCGTAAGACTTTGATTGGCGATGATACCATGTCAACTGTAAGAACTTAGAAGAAGAGAGGGAAAAAGCTCAAAGAGAAAGAGAGAGAATCTTGGAGAACAATCTTTTCATTTCACCACTTAATAATTACAATGCCTTGACTTACAATATAAATACACTCAGTGTAACCACCTTAGGACATAATACAACCAATCTCCTAATGACACATGTCACTCAATACAAGGCATACAAAATATCTCAACTATGTATATCCTAACACTAAGTGGCAAGGTATTTGGTGTAAACCTAGGTTTGTGATTTTTAGTATTTGAGACTTGAAGAAAATATTGTTATGGTGTGTTTAAAATTCCCCGTCAACGTTAAGGGGAGTGTTGTTTAGCCAAAATCAAGGATAAAACTTTAAGTGGATATTAATCAGCAAAGTTACTTGGAATCCTATGTTCAAATCTCTTCATTTAAGTCTAGGACATAAAATTACAAGTCATAGCCTATGGAATACAGAAAATGCACAACAGGAGACATTGGAAAAGGTTCTATTGCGTTTTATTGCTACTTTTCCAATATTCATCTTCCCAAGCTTCCACTTGCTTAGTTGAATTAGCCTTTCTCTCAAGAAAATTACGAAGAGCCGGAGAATCGTATGGTGGAGGCAGAGTGCATGGCAGTTCATCACTAGGATACTTCACCATGGACTCCACCATGAAGTTCTTCCATGTACCCTTTGCAGCACATGCCATTGTTTCTGAGCATAGCTCCACTGCACTGGGAGGTATAGTCGGTTTGAATTGCAAGAGCTTTGCATATTCATTTAGCACATGAAACATGTAATCATACACACGGTCCATCTTTAGATCTTCTTGTATGAATTTGCTAGCTGCCTCCCCAATTTCCTGCACCTGCCATATTTACGAGATACCAAAATGTTAATTTCATGCACCTACAGTTCAAATTCACAGTCTGCAACATAACATGTCCTACTGTTTCACAAAAAATACATATAATTTCATCGTATGCTTGAAGTTTTACTAGGACATAGACAGAGACATATAACCTTGTCTGTGTGATTATTGCCCCATTCCACCGCGAACTTAAGAGAAGTGCACTTGCTGTTGTCCCTAATAGGCCAATAATGCTGCAATGGCGTCATGCCTCTCATAAAGAAATCGTAGTAACGAGGTTTTACATACAGCGTCATAGAATCGCATGCCATGATGTATTTTTCACTTACAGACCATGCCCATCCTTCTACATATATTTTATACCTGTGCAAACCAAATTAAGCTCTATATATCAGTACAACACAGCAAAAGGAAGAAAGTTTTAAGTTGTTAATAAATGGAATTTCAAATGAAAAGATATTGAAAACTACCTGTGTGTGCACTGGTCTACCAAGTTAGATTGCTTGTACCCTTGTTTAGATTCTTTCTCCCAATCCTGAAAATTAAAATAACAAATAGACATATGCAGCGTTATCTCATATCATCTGTACCAAAGTAAACAGTTTCTGAGATTAATTTGGATAAAAGAAAGTAAAACTAATACATATGGAAGTTACATTTGTGTATATATAGAGAAATTTACCTGTATATAAAGGCGTGTATTCCAGTCATTTTTTTCTGAGACATTGCATTTGAGAAGGTCCATTCTGGTTGGAGCCACATAAGGGTTGCCTTTCCAGTAAGCATAAGGTATCCTGTCCTTCCACTTTGTTCTTTTATTGCCTTCTTTTATGCTTGGCAATAAACTTCTCCATGGTTTTATGTTGATCTCAGCCCTGCCAAAATTAAAAGAAGAGTTTGCAAGATTCCATGTGTAACATATGGTTCCCTCAAATAAACAAAGAAATAAAAACAAAAAGCACTTCACATGCTAAAACACTACATATTTATAAGAGTAAGACATAAGATATATTTACCAGCCCCAAAAGGACCAATCTGGAAACACAATGTCCAAGCTCTCCTCATCTGCACAATATCGAAACACCGGTGGCGGGCCAACATTAGGCCCCTGAAAGTCCTTTGATCGGACGACAGGCCGATCATCACAATCAAACATGAGCTCCAAGTCAGGCAATCTACCAGGGTACACCCTTAGAAGCTGTAAAATGCCCCATAATGTGAACATGTCCCTAGTTTGTATGGATTGTCTATACTTCTCTATGTAGGCCTTTCCATCCACGATCACAAGCCTAAAATGCGCAGTCTTTCGGGCCCGCTCTATCATGTCCCTTGTGATTCCCGTCCCTTTCCATGGTCGTAGATCTTCATGGATCCATCTAAAGTGTGACGGGCATGTGAGGTTTGATGGACGGTTAGGATTTGTGGGGTTGTGTGTGGTAGGGTTGGTTCTTGGACAAGTTTGCTTTACATTAATTCCTTTGGTACACTGCAGAGGGAATTCTTTTCTTTTTGGGGTTTCTTTTGTGGGTGTTATCGACTCGTTAGAGTAAGTACCTGAAAATATAAACTTTCTCTGAGAAAGAGAGAAAGGATGAAAATATTTTATACGTTAGTATGAAGCGAAATTTTGATACAAAAGAATCTTTTATGTGAAATGCAAAGGTACCAAAAAACAAAATTAAATATTAGAGAAGTAAAAAGATTAAACTCTCAATCTGGAGTTTGGAGTTGGTTCTTTCTAATTGTTCTGAACGACAAGGAAGGACACTATTATTGTATTTCGATGATCAAACTTCGGAAATCCTAGTTTTTTCCACTCGTGCTAAGTGAGAGGAGAGTAAGATTACAATAGTCGTCTAACGACTGAGCCTTTATGTATGGTAGTGTTATTATTTTTCAGACTATATTTTCAGACCACCTCTGCAATATATGAATCCACTTCAAGTCAGGTGGTCGATAAATACCTTAGATTTATTTTCCTTTAGTTTATAATTTTTGTTATAAATAGTCTTATTTAAAGAAACAAAATATAGAAGATGATAAACATACCCAGTATGTGACAAACTAGAATTCCTTTATTCAAACTTTATGTATAATCTAGCATTATGAGTTCATTGAACTTACAGTATCAATCCAGCCAGCAAATAACAACGCAGCAACACACAAAAGCAGCAACAACAGGATGAAGATTAAAGAAGCTGTTGCACTTCTCTTCTGCCCATCCAACAACTCATACAAATGCTTCCCATTGTTCCTCTTCATGTTTATGCTTCAAGCTATCTTCCAAGCCACCTTGAGGAGGCCTCCTGTACTTCTATGCTATACAGACAAGTCTTTGAGAACTTCAATTACAAGTCCTTGGCCTTGGTATCTAGCTTCTTCTCAATCTTATCAGATATTTAATGTTTATATTGTCAGACTATCAATTTAGATCATCCAGTCAAACAAGAGCCCATATAACAACTCATATAGGTTTTATGCCACCATAACAACTCTTATATTGTTTGGCAAGAAAACTATACACACACACACACCCACTTTTCACGTACCATGTATGTTTACATTATCGTGGAATGTGCAGTGTCTTACTTTCATAATTCACGTTTTATGCCACCATCTCCGTAATCACGTGAAATTGATGAAAATGACTATAACTACACATTTTGATAAGTTGAGGGACCAATGGTAATGAATTTTTAGTTGAAGGACCATTGCTCTAATTTGATTAAAGTTGAGGGACCATTACTACAATTTACTCTTTTTGAAAAGAAGTCTCCAAAGACTATAAGGTCTTTGGCCTAACAATGGACCCTCCCCCGTTATGGCCTAATTTTCATTATTGACCTAAAACATCTAAGAATTTTTATCCTAAATATATATCTCTAAATTTCAAAAGTCCTTATTTAACCCAGTGGATGGTTAAGGTACGCTGCTACAGTAACGTACTGGGACAATTTGCAGTAATAAAGTTTATTAAGTAAATACTTGAATAAACAAAAGGGGTCAGACAATTACAGATGACAAACTACTCAATTAGATCAAACATGTTACAGTAATTAAGTTTATTAATTGAGTAGAAAATTAACTAATTGCATCGTTTACTTTGACAGAGGAGAATAGAAATATTATAATAATAATTGTCTTGTAGTTCAAAAGGGGATACATATGGTTTTTAAATGAAAAAAAAAAAAAAAAAATCTCTGAAGAAAAAGTTTAGAAAGTTGTTGACGTAATTGATATCGATTATATATAATCATAAGTTATCCTTGATCATTTAAAAGGATGATGAGTAAAATTGGAGAAAGGGGTGAAATATAGCGACGGTTAAAGTGGAAGTTGCAGGGAAACAACGTTGAATGCATGCATCAAGGCCGAAAGGGTGTGTTTTTAACTCTCCTGTATATATGATGAATTGCATGCATGCATGCTTTGCTTCCTCTATTATTTATTTATTTATTCAAGTAACAGTTGCTTCCATGCAAATTATCCATCACTGTGCAAGCTCTCCAGCGTGAATTGAAATGAAGATTAATTAAGGAAAAACGTGATCCGACTAACTAGGCACTTAATTTGGTGCATCATGGTTTGTAGTTCGTACTTTAATGGCCCGTTTGTTTGGCTTCATTAAACTTTCTTAGACTAGATCAGATTACACCTTAGTTTAGTCCCGTGTTTGTTTCACGCAGAGACTATGTTTAATGAGACTTGCCTAGACTAAGTCGGACTAAAAGCTTTGTTGAAGGGTCTTAATGAGGCTCCCTGAAATTGGCCAGACTGCTAAGCCAAATCTGCTCGCTTCACCCTCCCTACTTCGTTCCTCCCATCTGCTTCTTTATCGTGTCCCACAACCCTTTTCAAACCCAGATCCCACAAAATTCGAAGGAAAAAAAAAAGCAAAAAATTTCAAACCCAGAAAATCCCAAAATTCAAACGCAAACAAACTCACAAATCCAAAAAAATCTGCAGTGGGACGACCATGGTTGCTTCAATCACACATGCACCAAAAAAAACCCAGAAAACCCAGACCAAATCCAACCCTTACCTTCCACCTTTGAGCCAATCACAGATGCATGCGCCTCCTTCAATCTCTTTCTGCTCTATGTTTTGATTTTGAGATTTGCAATTGATTTTGTGAGCGAAAGTGAACAGTTAGGAGGAACAGGTGAAGTGAAAAGGCAGGAGGCGAAGATGAAGTGGAGAGGCAGAGGATTTGCAATAAAAAATGCCGTATGTTCTTCTGATTAATAAAGGTTGAGGATTTGCAAATGTGAAACATAATTAGGTTTTTAAAAAAATTAAATAACTACAATAAATTTTTTGTTTTTTAAAGGTAAAAGTAAATTAAAAATGATAAAAAAAAAAAAAAAACTTGGGTCTTAAAAGATTTCAGTCCATAGTTTAGTCCCACACCAAACATTTTACAATCTTTATTCAGCTTAGTCAAAGTCAAACCAGTCCAGTTTAGTCCTTAAAACTAGTCCAATCTGAAATAATTTGGTACAACAAACACACCTTAAGGGTGTGTTTGTTGCACCGGACTAACTCGGACTGGACTAGCTTCAGGGACTAAGCTAGACTGGCTTAGATTAGACTAAGCTGGACTGATTTAGTGAAGTGTTTGGTGCAGCATTGTGCATAATGTTTGCTTATAACCAAGTGGTATGAAGGGACAAATGTGTATGTTTCATGCATGACTTGGAATAGTATTAGTAAAGTCACACAGGCCAATCAACTTGTTGGCAAGTGGTCCTTTACTACAGTGCTGAAAAAGTGTTGTGCTCTTGCATGACGACGTGTGTTCGAATTCTGTCGATGACCAATCTAACGTCTAACTTACTAATGATATCGCTCGACTAAAATAAAAATGTATGTAGTGGATAAACACATTCTTAAAATTTAATAAACTCACATAACAACGATAAATAAAGGCATTATCACAATTTAGGGGTGGTGAGCAATCCCATTAAAATAGAATATACATATTAAAAAAAAAAACAAATTGATGCAAAATCTCCTAACGACTAATACTATTCCAAGTCATGCATGAAACATACACATTTGTCCCTTTATGCCACTTGATTATAAGCAAACATCATGCACATGCATGAAACCTACACATGAAACCTACACATTTGTCCCTTCATGCCACTTGGTTATAAGCAAACATCATGCACATGCTTGAAAGCTACACATTTGTCCCTTCATGCCACTTGGTTATAAGCAAACATCATGCACAAGTTGTCTACTAATTAGTATTACTACTATTCAGCTTGTATCATGACCATTTTCTTTCATTTATTCGTATGCCCAAGACATTGTAAGAAATAATGTTGATTATTCAAAACGAATCAACAACTAGTTGCATAGGGTCATAGTCAATGATACTCCCAACTTGATAAAGAAAAAAAGAAAACAAAAGGAAATCGACTTCCAATCTAAAATAAAATGTATATAAATATAGAAAATTTTCATTAGCACTCCAAAAATCTCATTTGGCACTCCAAACTTTCTATAATTAGAAAGAAAAATACACTTGTGCGGAGTGTAGAATTAGATTTTTGGAGTGCTAATAACAGTTCCCTAAATATGTCTTAACATATATTGTACGTGGCATTGACTTAGACTTTTGCGAATAGACTTATAATTTGTAGTATCTAATAAATATTCAGATTGAAAATATTCATCAATCTACAAAATTTTCTCATGGAGGTACCCATTTTTTTGCCACAGATACCAATATAGAGGCTAAAAGACAATACGATATTAAATTCATATGTGGTCGAGATATTTATGAATTTAATCATTAAAATGCATAAGCTCAATTATACATTCAAGTTAGATCAATTCCTGAAGTTTTGGTCAACAATAAAACTACTTACCTATGAGTTCACCTATAAAACCTGCAAAGGCGATATACTTTTTAACCACAGTTATATGTATTGTGAATTTTTGTCCGCAACTTTTGTGGCATATAAAGGCTAAAAGATACTACGATATTAAATCCATATATGGTGGAAATATTTATCAGTTTAATCATGAAAATGCATAAACTCAATTACACATCCATGTTAGATCAATTCCCGAAGTTTTGCTCCAGAATAAAAACTGCTTAGCTATGAGTTCGCCTATAAAACGTGCAAATGTGATATACCTTTTAGCCACAGTTCAATGTAATGGGAATTGTTGTCTACAACTATTGTATCTAATAAACATCCACGGTTAAAAATATTCATTGATCTACCAAAAGTTATCATGGACGTACCCATTTTTCTACCACATATAGGACTATAGAGGCTAGAAGATTCTCATTTAATTGAAACATACCAAACTCATTAAACATTCTAACCAGATGCTCATACTTATTATTAAGCTAATTGGTGCTCTAGAAATTTAGATATGTCAAATGATGAAGAAAAGGAAGAGGAAGAGGTTTGGATGACTACGGAGGAGTAGATGGGAGTGCAGAATGACAACCATATGGGAGATGGAAGGATTTTCTAAAGAGAGAGAGAAGGGAATTTGCTCCATGGAGATGATAGACTAGTTAGGGTTTTATTTTTTTATTTTTAAGTAGATTGAGTTGGGTGTAAAAAGAAATTTGATTGAGTTGAGTTTTGATAAGTAAGGACGGTTTCGGAAATAATGTTGAGTTTAAATAGATAATAATAGATAAATCAAATACAATGTGGATATAAAAAGTAAGCTGGGTGTTGAAATGCAAAATATGAGTTCAAATAAAATTTTCCTTGTCTTTTTACCTATATTTGGTTGACAAAGAGAATTTTATTAATAGGTAATTTAGATTTTATTACTAATTTAGGTATATTGTTAATTAATATGTATACACATGTAATATGATTACTTGTTAGAGTTCAGTGTCATTAACACATCCCACTTATGCACCTCATACAAAACTAACACTTCGGACAGCCCAAATCTTTTTTTTTCTCTTGAATGATCTAGATTCTCTAGTCTATCGTCTCCAGACACAAAGATCCAAAAAGGATCTGAATTGAGAAAAGAAGGATGGTAGAATGAATAAGAAAGAAATGAAAATGAAGTGGTACACAAAATTAAAACCAAAAACAAGAAACTGAAAACCATATAAATTAATTTCACTTTCAAGTTTTTGTCTCATGCATTATCCTTCGTTTCTCCCTCCCTTCACCCTTCACACGATTATATTTTCCCTTTTACTGTTTTCCTCTATCTTTATCACTGATAATAAAAAACTTAACGCTAAACACAAAATGGTTATCAAAATCACTAAATTTGTTTTCTAGCTTCTGCAAAATGTACACGCTAGGTGCAGACTGGGGATGCAAATTAGGCGCACCACCACAACAATTGCCGTGTGGAACTTAAAAGTAAATCAAAGGGGTTATAAAAGTACAAGTTCTTATGACTTGTGAATCTAAGAGTGACAAGTACGTAACCTACAAAATCCCTTGGTTCTTTGGCCCCCCTTAGGCAGTAGGCACTCATATTTCGGTTCCCTAATCACAGCTTTGCCGGCCTTGGGCGTGTAGTTTTGACATGTCCAGCAAATAATACAGATGATAGCTCTTCGGGCCTTCGGCATAACATACACCTCCAGTTCTTAAATCCTGCTAATATTCATGTCCGTTCAAATAACCATTCTAACAGTTCCAGTAGTTCTCTAGTCAACAAAAAGATCAGTTATAAAAGCTGGAGGATCAAACTCTCAGCCAGTTTTGCACTCAAGAGTTCTTTGCGAAAAAGGCTGTGCAGCCGCTGCAGACAGAAGCATTCACACAATTCAAAGTAATAAGCAATAGAACCAAAATATTAACAGCGAGTCTGCTATTTCAAGAAGAGATATGCAGAAAGGTGCAACGAGGGGAGACACAATGACCTCTCTCCTTTGTTGATCCGAACACAAACCGCTCCATCGGTATTATGCCGTTGAAGTGCTGAAACTGTCATTTTCTAACCACTAATGTCCTGACTCCTGAAACCCCTAAACCATCTGTGTCAATTTTCACTTGATTACCATATATAATTATATACTCACAACGATCGTGCAAAGATCGTAATACACACACACACTAACCACTATTATTTCTTGATATGCACTGACCTTACTGTATCGTGGCCGTGAATGCCTCAAAATGTGGGGGTTTCAATGACCAATTACTAAAGGGAGGTCTCGTTTTTAGAAGTTTTGATGTTAAATTGTATTCCTGTGCCCTTTCCTGCATGAAGCAACAGGGTATAATTAGCTAATGGAAAAAGAAATGATATCCAGTTAATTAAGAACCACTTATTTTTCTCTCTATTGTTTGGCTGTTGCACAATACATAAGCGTCAGTGGTTATATAACTAATTCATAATTTTTTTTTTGTTAAACATTCATAATTTTGTACTAAAAGATGTTGAGCAGAAGATTACTTCTACAGATATCTAAAATTATGTAGATCATACCATTTTACACAACAAGCAACGACTAATCTTTCAGTTACATGTGAACAATGGTCTCAGTACGTAGTTTGAACTTCTAAGTAACCAAAGCACAAAGACCTCTTAAACCACTTGTGCAACTTAGCAGGTTTAGATAGTTTAATGTCATGAATTTATTGATCACTTGTAAAGAATATTCCTAAAACTGCATAATCACCTAGATCAACAAAATATTATATAAAGAAGTCTGTAAATCAGTATCTGGAGTATTGACCATACCTTGATTTCTTGATAAGACGTCTCATTCACTGGGATTTTGATAGGGCATTCATGTCTTACAGACAAGAAAATCTCCAACAGCCGCTTTCTGTCAAACAATAAGAACGATATGAAAATGGTAATAAATGCCTTCTCCATATATAGGTTGCATCACGCTTATCACCCTACTTGCATAATAATGACTCAGTCGATGGATAATGTGCCCCTTTGGCAGCGGTTCCTTGCTTTCTTCCGGTGGTTCCAAGAATGACTTCATGCAGACCAGATTTATTCCAACATATCGAATACCTGAGAATCATGTACCAAAAACATAAAGCATTAAGAAATTAGTAACCAAATAATTAGATGATAACTTTGTTGGAACATGTCCGATTAAATTACCCGCATGTTAAAGTGGTCAAAGCTGTCTCAGAATGCTGAAATTCCTTTTGTGGTGTTGGAGCTGCCCATATTAATGGCTGCCAGTAGCATTAGTGTACACGTTTATGAAAGCCTTCTCACTTTCAAAATCACAGAGTACAAATTTCACTGACCTGGTTCACTTGGAAAGGACTCTTCAGCTCATTTGATAACGGTAGAACGCGATCGTGCAATGACTGTTTCAATTGATCAACCACAGAAACCATTTTAGAGTTTCAGGATTGCCCAACAGAGACCGAAGAAAGGTATACAGGTTGCAGAAAGAATGAAAGCAAAGATCCTGGAATAAGAATGTGAATGACCTCATCAACTAATTATTACTAGAAGTGCCCAACCATTCAAGTACTTCCAGTAAACATGAAGAAGTCAAGCTGTCAGTATCCAGGATCGACTGAATGAAACCATATCTGGAGTACACGACAGATCAAACAACAAACCTTTAACTCCAACAACATTCCAGGGGGCTATCTTGTCAGAGCAACTAACTGATAATGTTGTATCACCGCGACCAGGCTTTCTTTGTACCAAGCCAATTAGTTGTGAAGCATCACCTGAAAATGGAAGCAACATACAGATGCTACATCACTCAAGTTTCGTATCAAGTGCAATGATTTTTTTCTCGAAAGGAAACCACCAGAAACCCGCTACAGGAATACTCTTTACTAAACCCACCGCATTGGGGTAAAAAATGGAAACAAAGTAGAGAATGGTTCAAAATTCCACTACCATTAGTCTTTGGTGGAGCCTCTCCTGCGATGGCATTATTAAGCTCGTCCAAAGATGAACCCCGTTCTCTCGGTGCAGTATATTTTGGAGGGGACAACAGTGAACTCGGAGAAGCAACCCCACCTGCAAGAACCATAAATGTCAGCCACCATTTTTCTCAGATAATGTGTTTATTCATCACCTATCACACATGAATCGCAGTTTAAAGGAAACAGAAAATCTCGGAGAAAGGATACTGGGAGTAGAGTTGGGGGGGTTAAGGAGAAGTAAAAAAACAAGTGGAGAACTCAAATCTATGCATTACCCATTCAAACCATCACAAGAGAATTTTGTTCACCATGACGAAATCCATGGATGGACGAAGAAAATCTACTGGTAGGGCTTTTCAAGCATGAGAAAAATATTAGGAAAATGTTATTATGGACAAGTCTATGGTTGACTCGTACCAAAAAAAAGTCTTATTTTTATTATGAGCAAGTCCTTTTTATTATTATGGACAAGTCCATGATCAACAAGAATCGTTTAAAAAGGAGAAAACATTAAGAAAAGACTAATTATAATTATGGACAAGTTGTTGTAATTTGTCAACTCTATTAAGTCGTTTATTTTTATTCCTAATTACATGTGGGCAATGTAAGCTATAAAAATTGAACCTGAGCAACGTTCTGTTCCACATGTTAGTGTTTAATTCTGTTAATTCGAAAGAAAAGAAAGGGATGAATGTACTGAAAGATGAGAAGGATGAAAAATGGTTGCACACTCTTTCTGCAGAAACCACAGAGCAATAATTCTTTTCATTTAATGATTCTCATACCTTGCACAAAACGTGCAAGGAGAATAATATAGTTAACAAAGCTGAGCTATACCAATACATCTAGAAATTGATCACATCCACTCATCTAGCAAGTAGCTAGGATCATTACACATTGCACTCAAGGTCTTACATATTAGACCTACACTTGGTAATTCTAAACACAAGTGGATACACAATTAAACACAAGGTTATTCACTAATACTAATCAGCTCATTGCTTATAATTCAACACTCCCCTTTAAGTTTTGAGCTAATTTTACTCCAAGCAAATCTCTAAGGTAGTTGAATCGATCTTTAGCCAATGGTTTTGTGAAGATATCTGCCAATTGCTCATTCGTAGGACAGTAAATCGGGTCTATAATTCCTTCTTGCAGAGCATCTTTGATAAAGTGATACCTTCTGTCAATGTGCTTAGTCTTTTGATGGAATACAGGATTCTTTGTGATAGCTATTGCAGATGTGTTGTCACAATGCAATGGAGTTGCTTCAGTTTGAAGTTCTCCAAAATCCTCCGGTACAAATCTAAGCCAGATTGCTTGTGCAGTTGCCTCTAAAGCACTGATGTATTCTGCCTCAGCAGATGAAAGTGCTACACAATTTTGTTTAACTGAAGCCCAAGAGAAAATCCCACTGCCAAAAGAAAAAGCATACCCTGAAGTGCTTTTGCTATCATCAACTGATCCTCCCCAGTCACTGTCACAAAAACCAATTAACATAGCTTTTCTACCCTTCACATATTCTAGACCATAGTCTAATGTTCCTTTAATGTACCTGAGAACTCTCTTGGCAGTTCCATAGTGTTTCATTGTAGGACAATGCATAAACCTTGCAAGCAAGCTTGCTGCATACATCATATCAGGTCTTGTAGCAGTAAGATACAGTAAACTCCCCACAATCTTTCTATATTATTCTTCATTTGCTGGACCACTTCCATCATCTTTGCTCAATTTTTCAGTTGCTACCAGTGGTGTTGTCACAGATTTGCATTCATTCAAACCAAATTTATTCAACAAATAAGAGGCATACTTCTGTTGATGAATAAAACGGTTGGAGTTAGTTTGAATGACTTCCATTCCGAGAAAATGGTGAAAAAGACCCAAATCGGTCATCTCATATTTCAACATCATGTCCTTCTTGAATTCTCTCAACATTTCGATGCTACTACCTGTATAGACAATATCATCTACATAGATAGAAACAATTATAATATCTTTTTCTCCCCCTGACTTGATATACAGTGTTGGTTCACTAAGACTCTTTTGGAAACCACACTGTGAGAAATATGTATCAATTTCCTCATACCAGGCTCTAGGTGCCTGTTTTAGTCCATAGAGAGCTTTATGGAGCCTATACATTTTGTCTTCCTTGCCTTGCACTATAAACCCTTCTGGTTGATCTACATATACCTCTTCATGCAGTACTTCATTTAAGAAGGCAGATTTAACATCAAGCTGATACAACTTCCAGCTCTTTTGGGCAGCTAATGCAATAAGAGTTCTGATAGTGTCCAGTCTAGCCACTGGAGCATAAGTTTCATTATAGTCCAAACCAGGTTTCTGAGCATAACCTTTAACAACCAACCTTGCCTTATTCTTTCAGGCTGGGCCATCCAGATTCAATTTGGTTTTATAAACCCACTTAACTCCAATAACAGGCTGCATTGTTGATCTATCCACTAATTCTCATGTGTCATTCTTTTCAATCATGGTCAACTCATCCTGCATTGCTTTTAACCATGATTCATCTTGAGCTACATCTGCATAACTTTCTGGTTCCATAACACACATATTGCATTGAGCAAGAATATCATCAAGATTCCTCCATTTCAGTGGTGTATGATCATAAGCTTGAGTACTCCTTTCAACTTTGCTTATACTCTTTGAAGATTCACCTGAAAGTGATTGAGTACTGATGTAGCTAGAATCAGTTGAACGGATACTTTCCTCGTGTGGAGATAGAGACACATGTGAGGATGAAGGAGTTTCACTTCCATTAGCTTCAACCATTTGCACAGATTGTTGAGGATCTTCTTTCCAATTTCATGAAGCTTCTTCATCGAAGACAACATCTCTTAATAGAACAAGTTTCTTGGAGATTGGATCAAGAACTCTATATCCCTTTTCACAAGTTGCATAACCAACAAACACACCCTTGGTGCTTCTTGCATCTAGTTTTTTTGTCTCAGCTTGGTAGGCACATGTACATAGCACAAAGAACCAAAAATCTTGAGATGTGCTATACCTGGTTTTCTACCACTATAAGCCCCAAATGGGGTTATATTTCCAAGTGCCTTTGTAGGACACCTATTTAGAATATACACCGTAGTGTGCACAGCTTCAGCCCAAAGAAAGTATGGCATACCTCTGTCATGTAGCATAACTTTTGCCATTTCAACCACAGTTTAGTTTTTCCTTTCCACTACTCCATTCTGTTGAGGAGTATAAGCCATGGTAAGTTGCCTTTGAATTCCTTCAGTTTCACAGAACTTAGAGAACTCAAATGATAAGAATTCTCCACCTCTGTCATGCCTTAGACATTTAACTTTGAAACCACTCCACAACTCCACCATTGACTTGAACTTTCCAAAACAATTGAATGCATCAGATTTGTATCTGAGAAAATACACCCAAATCATCCTTTTACAATCATCAATAAGGAACATAAAGTATTGGTTTCCAACCAAGAATGCATTCTGCATAGGACCACACAAATCTACGTGAATAAGTTCCAGGGGACAATTTGCTCTCCAAGCTTGTTCTTTTGGGAACCAATCTCTGTGTTGTTTTCCAAATTGACACCTTTCACATACTTCTTTGATTTCTTCTAAATATGGAAGACCATGCACCATATCTTTCTCTCTAAGTTGCTGTAGTCCCTTGAAATTCAAGTGACCTAGTCTTCTGTGCCAAGTCCGAGTAGAATGATCTATGCTAGCTTTTAGAACCAACTGATTGTTTTTCAACAGAGAAAGAGGATATCGTCTATTTTCTTTCATCTTAACTTTGATGAATAGATTGTCCAGTGAAGGTCCATCAAACACACTACATATGCCCTCTCCAAATAATAGATATTATCCATGCTCATCCATTTGTCCAACACTCAGTAAGTTTTCTTTCAACCCTGGCAAATGCATGACTTCTCTGATGTACTTATTGCCTTTATTGGTGTCTGTTGTCAATGATCCCATTCCAGCAACATTTACCAACACACCAGTAGGCATTTGCACTTTTCCAGCAACATTTTTTCTTATATCAACAAGGAGATCAGCATTCCCTATCATGTGGTTACTATAACCGTTGTCAATGTACCAATTGCCATTGACATTTGTCTCTGAGATTGCACTATTAGCATAGAACAAATTCCCTGTCACTTACACCTAATTTGCAGAATTTGCCTTTTGTACAGTCTTTCCTACAATGCATTCTCTAGCCTAATGACCAATTCTATCACAATTATAACATTTTTGTTTCCCCTTATGCTTGCACTCTCCAAAATGAAACTTAGAACATACTTTGCACTAGGGTTTTCCACCTACTTGACCTATAGATTGTGATGAGGTCAGATTCTGTGCAGTTATGCCAAATGGTTTCTGTTGAAACTTTGGCTTTGAATCCCATTTCTTACCCCTTGAATTCCAGCTATTCTGAGCCTGATAACCACTAGACTGTGAATTGTTCTTATTCTGTCCATTACTACCCACAGATAAGGAGGCAAAGGTCTTCTCAGTTACATCAAAGGAATGTAAATCAAAACGCTGCTCTTGACTTTTCAAAATAGCAAGTACTTCTTGTAACTTAATAGTTTCAAGGCGTTTAGTATTTTCAATCACCAAGCATATAGAATCATAACTCAGACTAATCAACACTTTTTGCACTAATCTCTCATTCGAAAGTGTTTCTCCAAATGTTTTCATTTGATTAATCATCTCATTTAAGCGAGTAAGATAACCAGATAAAGATTCACCATCTCTCATCTTAGCATATTCAAATTCACGCCTGAGATTTTGAAGTTTAACTGACCATACCTGATCAGCACCATGATATTCACCATATAACACATCCTAAGCCATTTTAGATGAGTCTGCGTTGGCAATCCAAGGAAAAATTTGATCGGAAACTGCATTTTAAATAATTCTGAGAGCTTTGGCATCCTTCATAAACATCGCAGCAATCAGTTCATCATCTTCATCCACCGCTTCAGCTTCATCAACTTCCTTCTTCTTCTTATTTGAATCATCGGGAAGTGTAATCCCTTTCTCTACCAGTTTCTAGAGTCCTTGAGACTTGAAAACCGTCGTCATTTTGATTTTCCAGAACTCGTAGTTCTCACCGGAGAATATCGGAGTTCTAACTTCTGAACTTCCAAAACCGGCCATCATGGGCTCCGATGCTTTGGAAGAGCTCAAATTTGATTTTTGATTTCTATAAAGCTCCGGCGACTTCACCAGAACCAAAGCGAGCTAGAATGTAGCTCGAATGCTTCAACATCAATGACATTTTAGCTTCACAGTCACGCCCAGATATCAAGGAATCCAACCTGGCTCTGAGGCCACGTTAGTGTTTGATTCTGATAATTCGAAAGAAAAGAAAGGGATGAATGTACTGAAAGATGAGGAGGATGAAAATTGGTTGCACACTCTTTCTGCAGAAATCACAAAGCAATAATTCTTTTCATTTAATGATTCTCATACCTTGCACAAAGCGTGCAAGGAGAATAACATAGTTAACAAAGCTGAGCTATACCAATACATCTAGAAATTGATCACAACCACTCATCTAGCAAGTAGCTAGGATCATTACATATGGCACTCAAGGCCTTACATATTTAGACCTACACTAGGTAATTCTAAACACAAGTGGATACACAATTAAACACAAGGTTATTCACTAATACTAATCAGCTCATTGCTTATAATTCAACACCACATTGGTTTCTAGCAACTGGCTATGAATCCCAAATCTATTTAAAAAATTGGTGTTCCTAAATTCTCCAATTAATTCTGCCTTAAGAGTTCTAGTTTGTTGATTTTTTTTTTTTTTTTCCTTTTTGGGTTTCATTACTGGTTGTTGATTACGGGTAACAGAAATGATGAAAATTAGTAATGAGGATCCGGCAGATGGCAACATTAAACTGAGGTTAGTTTCTCTGAATATTTTTTTTTTTTTTAATTTTTTTTTTTTGGCGGTGTCTCTTCGTGAAGCTTGGTCATCTACGAATGTTTTTATTCTTTCTGGTTTGTCATGGACTTATGTTAAAATGATGTTGATTTGAGAATTAGTATTACTATTAATGGTTCTTATTATTGGATTTCAAGCCTTCAAGCACGCATTAATAATTTTTTTTTTCTTTGTTACATTGAAGGGTTTCGAACTCTTAATCTAGTATACTCTTACTCATTACTTACTCATCTTCACTATTAGGCTAACTCCAATGACTTTGATTTTTCCTTTTTGTATATGAGAGACGAGGCTATTACTCGGGAGATCTTCTGACAACCATAAATTCTGCTACCACGTCGACAGATGCAGAAGATTCAGATCAGACGGAGGAGAAAAAACATGAAGAAAATATTCCACGGACGAATTTGATATTTGTAATTGCATGCATGGTTGCAATCTCTATAGATCCCTTGTTTTTGTACATTCCTATCATCGATGGCGAAAGTAAGTGCCTTCGAGTGGACAAAAAGTTGAGGATCGTAACTCTTCTTTTCCGATCACTCATAGATATCACCTACATAGTGTATATTACATATCAAATTCGTCAAGCTATTAAGTCCGCGTTACCAGAAGACCAGTCTCATCCCAACGAACAAACAGTTACTTCAAGTACTTGGAAGTCGAAGTTTTTCGATTTGTTTGAACGTCGTGATAAAACATTTGAGTTCTCATGGACCTCCATCATAATTGACATTCTAGCTGTTGGTCCAACCCCACAAGTAAGATTATATCAGTAAGTGGTCTGTTTGGTAAGTTATTAAATCTGACTCATTATTTGTCTTGTGCAGGTGTTACTAGGAGCTGTTTGTTTCAAAATGGGAGGGTCTAGATATTTGGATAACATAAAGATTGTGAATTTCTTTCTTCTCGTCCAATATCTGCCAAGGTTCTATGAAATTTACCTAGCTGCTACGGAATTTAGGAAAAACACTCCAGTGTGGATTAAAGGTGCTTTCAACTTTTTTCTGTACATCATTGCTAGTCATGTAAGTTTCATCGATTTCTCCTCATTTCTTCATTTTGATTGTTTTTTATCTATAGTTACTAATCAATGCTTTAATAATTTTTGATCGAAAAGTGTTGACCTAGGAATTTGGGGTCTTTATTTACTATCAAATTAGCAGAACCCCCATAATTCCCGGCATTTGCTCGATAAGAGCATTTCCAACCAAATAGCCAAACAATCTCGATGTCACATGAGTTTTATGAATGGGTTGGCTCAGTCTAGAGTTCAAATATTTGTCTAACACTAGGTACGTGGTGTTTTTCTCTACTTATAATTGAGAAGTTTTAACTTTTTGTATAAAATAGGATAAAAGTACTTTTTTTATCACCCCAATATTATATAATTACTCTTTTTCTTTTTTATAATTGACGAGTTCAACATTAATTTAGCTAATTGATTATTGTTTTTCAGAGCTCTATAGATACTTTTCTTTCTCTTGGTGATCTGTTTTTGATACTTTTCATTGATTAACCGTATAGTCTGTTGGTGATTTTTTTAGGTACTTGGAGCTTTTTGGTACCTTTTCTCTATTGAACGGGAAACAGCGTGTTGGCACCAGGCATACAGAAACACTGCAGGATGTAAAGCCAGTTTCTATTGTGATGACAATATTTCAACGAATGTCACAACATTGCTTACTGAATTCGGTCCCACAAGTCCACTAAATTCTACGGTATTTGACTTTGGAATATTTTTCTAAAGGAATTGAGTCTGGAAACACCGGACGAATAAATTTTTTGACAAAGCTCTTTTACTCATGGTCCTGGGGTATCCTAAATCTAAGTTTTGGATTATAATTTATTTGTGAATTCTATGGTGTTTTGAAGTATTCAATATAGTACCACATCTTGAGTTACCCTAATATTCTATTTTTCTTTTGCAGTAATTTTGGTGTGGGAGAACCTCTATTCAATTCTTATTCCCGCTATTGGGTTGCTATTATTTTCTTATCTTATTGGAAACGTGCAGGTTGGTTATCTATATCCCTATGTTCATTATTTTCCCCACTGAAGGATGCCTAGTTAGGGTTAGGGTTATGTAATAGGGTTGGATGTAACTGAAGCTTTTTTTTTATTTTTTTGTGAAACAGAATTGTCTGCTGTGGGAGGAGGAAAAGAAAGTGCAAGAACCGAAGCGGAAGATCATAGTGGAAGGTCTAAGAGCGTGGCTCTCCGAAAACAATCTCCGTCCAGATTTGGAGAAACAAGTCGTAAAAAACATAAAACAAGCAATTGAACTAGACAAGGATGCAGGTGTCGATAATCTATTCTCTCTTCTTCCATGGAGTACCAGACGAGAGCTAAAGCGTTCTCTTTTCAAGCCAATGATTAAAGTATGTTCCTCGACAAAACTCAAACTCGTCTCTCCTCCTTCTCTCTTCACACACACACACACACACACACACACACACACACATATACGCTGGGAGTCTTTCTTAAGAGGGACATCAAACCAAATAAAATTAAAAGAAGAAGGCAGCGTCTGTTGGAGAACAATTTAGAAACAATAAAATAACAGAAATACAGAATCGAAATACTTATTCTTTATTATTCAAAACTACTTGCAATACAGAATGCAATTACACAATAAATACAAAAAATTAAAATGATACTAACTTGAATGAATTGAAGGTAGAGGCTAGCGCAAACGCTATGTCCTTCGAACAGTATTTCCGTCCTACTCGTGTGCTTGTGGTTCTACAACGTCTGCTCGACTATGATACAACTACCTAATTCTACAACCCGCACTGGATTATAGAACTCTAGCGAATTGCTTTGTGTGTTTACTCTCTGGAAATTTTGTACGGAAGACAAGGAGGAACAAAAGATGATTCCCACTTGAATACTGTGATTGCAAATATATAGGTTGTTTCACATCTTTTCAAATACCTGTTCAGTGTATTTGAAAGTACACAACTCTTTCTAATAGCTATGTCTTTTAATCAAAACGTACAACTCTTTCTAATAGATGTGTCTTTTAATCAAAACGTTTTTTAATTAATAAATTAATTAAAAAACTTAATCCGAAAATTAAAATTAATGAATCTGATTAATTTTAAATTCCAAGGCCCCAAGGCCCTTGTCTTGATTACTTAATATTAATTGTATTTAGGCTATATTATATTCAAGTCTAATCCACACAATCATAAGGCCTAAGCCTTCAATCCATTTCCAAATGGTTCAAGTTCTAATTACTAAGAAGAAGGAATAAGCCTATATAAAGGCTAGTGAAAAAATACTGTTGACCAATGTGGGACAAGAGGGTGTCAAACTCCTACAATACCCCACATTTGAGATGACTCTTTGGTCCTAGAAACATTAAGATACGAGAGTAAATAATAGATGTGACATACATCAAGAGATGTATCTTTTGGACTTAAACCTACCTTAGTATATACTTATCGGATTTACTAAATGACGCAATGAATATAAAATCTTGAACTGTTCATCTCCGCAGTAAACCAAGACAATAAGCAAAACATATGCCACATGTACACATTACAAATTTATACGTTTGTGTTCTTTTTAGTCCTGAACAAATCCTGGATTCATGAGAGCTTTAGAGAATGTAGCCATGTAATTCTCATAAATGCGACCCCACATTTACTCTCATATAGGTGATATTGATTAAGAATAGGCTGCTACTATTCCACTTGATTTACAAGTATCAATATCATTAAACTACTGTATCCTACATCATCAGCAGTCACCACACTTCTTCCATCATAGGAATGGGTATGTAAGTGTGTTTCTTCTCGAATCTAGCCAAACCAGTTTGCCTATTGAACCTAGACCATGGGATCTCCAATCAACTAGGTTAGGTTTCCGTTTGGCAGTTTCATTTTACTCTATTGGCTTTAAACCCATTCCCCTCGATGTATGCTTAACTTGCTCTCTAGACAAACCTTTAGTAAGCAGATCCGCAATATTATCTTTTGACTTAACATAGTCAATAGAAATTACACCACTAGAGAGCCATTGCTTTATTGTATTATGCCTTCGTCTAATTTGTCTAGACTTCCCATTGTATACACTATTTTTAGCTTGATATTGTGCAGCTAAACTATCACAGTATATACATATTGCCGTTACAGGTTTAGGCCATATGGGAACATCCTCCAAAAAATCTCTTAGCCACTCAGCTTCTCCTCCAGACCAATCGAGAGCGATAAATTCCGATTCCATAGTTGATCGGGCTATGCGTGTTTGTTTAGAAGATTTCCAAGATATTGCTGCTCCTCCCAAAGTAAATACATATCCACTTGTGGATTTTGTATCATTACTATCCGATATCCAATTCGCATCAGTAAATCCTTCAAGCACAGGAGGGTACCTCGTATAATGCAATCCATAATTCATTGTATACTTTAAGTATCTCAATACTCGAATTAAAGCTTCCCAATGATCATGCCCAGGATTGCATGTATATCTACTTAGTCTACTCACTGAGTATGATATATCAGGCCTTGTACAGTTCATAATATACATAAGACTTCCAATAACTTGTGAGTATTCACGTTGAGATATAGCATCACCTCTATTTTTCTTAAGTTTGCTATTGGCATCAAAAGGAGTAATTGCATCTTTACTTTCCAAATGACCATATTTTCTAAGTGTAGCTTCTATATAATGGGACTATGTAAGAATATATCCTTCTTGGTTTCTTTTTATTTTTACACCAAGAATCACATCAGCTAATCCAAGATATTTCATATCGAAACTTGATTTCAATATCTTCTTGGTCCAATTTATTATGTCTTTGTTAGTTCCCATTATAAGCATATCATCTACATATAGACACAACATAACGCAAGCATTATTTTGAGTTTGTGTGTAGACACACTTATCACACTCGTTTATCTTAAAACCATGTGTTATCATAATATGGTCAAATTTTTCATGCCATTGCTTTGGAGCTTGTTTAAGCCCATATAGTGATTTCACAAGTTTACAAACTTTGTGTTCTTGACCTTTAACCACAAACCCCTCAGGTTGTTCCATATATATTTCCTCATCTAAGTCTCCATTTAAGAATGCAGTCTTTACATCCATTTGATGTATTTCCATGTTATGGAGTGCAGTTATAGCAATCAACAGTCTTATTGACGTAATTCTCGTTACAGGCGAGTATGTATCAAAGAAATCCAAACCATTTTTTTGACGGTATCCTTTAGCTACCAAACGAGCCTTATATTTGTTAATCGTACCATCAAGTTTTAATTTCTTCTTAAAGATCCATTTGTACCCAATTGGCTTATTGCCAAGAGGCAAATCGACTAATTCCCATGTATGATTTTGCATAATTGAATCTATCTCACTGTTAACTGCATCATTCCAAAATGGAGCTTCAGGAGTGGACATGGCCTCCTTGAATGATTGAGGTTCTGTCTCATTTAATAAGGTCACAAAATCAGGCCCAAAGTCCTTTCGAATTTTTGTCCTTTTACTCCTTCTAGGTTCAAGTTCTTATTCTTCTTGAACTCTAGACGAGGATGAACCATCATCATGTTCTCTAGGTTCGTCATTAACCTCAGATACATCATCATGTAATCTCTTTTTCAATAAATTAGACTTGCCTATTTTGTATGGAAATATATCCTCAAAAAATATTGCATTTATAGATTCTATAATAGTATTGACATGTATATCATTGACTTTGGAATGAAAAACTAAGAATCTATAAGCTGAACTATTAGATGCAAAACCAATAAAAACACAATCTATAGTTTTAGGCCCTAATTTTGTTCTCTTTGGCAATGGGACTTGTACTTTTACCAGGTAACCCCACACTTTAAGCAATTTAAAGGTTAGGGTTCTTCCTTTCCATAATTCATACGGTGACTCCTTTCTCGTTTTAGGTGGAATTCGATTCAAAATTTTATTTGCAGTAATTAAAGCTTCACCCCACAAATTGTGTGGAAGTCCAGAGCTATTCAACATAGAATTGATCATGTCTTTAAAAGTCCTATTTTTCCGTTCGGCAACACCGTTTTGTTGTGGTGTATAAGGGGTTGTTGTTTGATGAATTATGCCATGTGTGGCACAAAATTCAGCAAAGGCATGAGACTCATATTCTCCTCCCCTATCGGACCTTAAGACTTTAATCTTCTTGTTAAGTTGATTCTCAACTTCTGCCTTATATGTCTTAAATATATCCAAGGTCTCATCTTTACTATGAAGTAAATAAACGTAACAATACTTATTGAAATCATCTATAAATGTTACATAATAGTTCTTTTCACCACGAGTTGGATATGATCTAAAATCACACAAGTCACTATGAATTAAATATAATAAATCATTGGACTTTTCATGCACTAATTTAAAGCTTTGACTCGCAAATTTCGATTCTGTACAAGTCTCACATTTAACATTATCTAGATAATCAATTTTGGGCAGCAAATCTAAATTATGCATTCTAAAAAGTGAACGAAAATTTACATGTCCTAACCTAGAGTGCTATAAATTAGACTAATCAACAATATAAGCAGAAGCATTATTTATTTCATTCATAGCATTAGCAAGTACATTTAGTTTGAATAATCCATCAGCAAGGTAACCCTTCCTTACAAACATTCCCCCTTTAGTTAGTACAAACTTATTAGACTCAAAAACTAGTTTGAATCCTTTATTACTAAGGATAGGACCAGAAACAAGATTCTTCTTTATATCGGAGACATGTAGCACATCAAGGAGGGTTAATTCCTTTCCAGAAGTGAATTTCATAACACATTTCCCTATTCTAGCCACAACAGATGCAGATGCATTTCCCATAAACAGCTGCTCGTTTCCCTCGATTTTCTGGTACGAAGATAACATATCTCTGTCACCACACACATGGCGAGTTGCACCGGTATCTATCCACCAATCAGCGTGATTAGATACAAGGTTGATTTCAGAAATCATTGCAGCCAAGGCATCCATATTGTTTTCAATCAGGTTCACATGGTTGTTGTTACCTTGATTTCCAGGACCTTGATCCCTTCGATGGCGACATTCTTGAGCCCTATGGCCTTGCTTTCCACAAACCCAGCAACTTCCCTTGATTTTCTTGAAGTCTTTGCCTTTCGCACCATGGACAAAGTGTATTTCCTTCTTCTTAGTTTTCTGGAACTCCGGCCTTTGCTTTGATGAACTTCCTTCAACAACATTCGCCTTGGCTTCCATACTTGAAACCAGGCCCTTCTCATTCTTTCTGTTATCTTCCTCTATTCTCAGCCTTACAATGAGATCCTCAAAGGTCATCTCTTTACGTTTGTGCTTGAGATAATTCTTGAACTCTTTCCAAGAATGTGGCAGTTTTTCTATAAAGGACGCCACTTGGAAAGACTCATTGATCACCATCCCTTCAACATGAATGTAATGGATGATTTTTTGGAGATCTTCAGTTTAAGAGACAACGGACTTGGAATCCACCATTTTGTAGTCCAAAAATTTGCCCACGACAAATTTCTTCAAACCAGCATCCTCAGTTTTATATTTTTTTCTCAAATGATTCCCAAAGTTCCTTGGCTGTTTTGCATACTACATAGACATCATACAATGAATCATCTAATGCATTGAGAATATAGTTTCTGCAGAAGAAATCGTTATGATTCCAGGCATCTATAGCCGTTAAAGTTTCTGCAGAAAAAATATTTTCTCCATCTGCAGTAGGTATAGTCTCGCGCAGAACATTAGCCAAATTCAAGGTTGTCAAATAAAACAGCATCTTCTGCTGCTATCTTTTGAAGTCTCCACCCTTAAATTTCTCAGGCTTCTCAGAATGAGGTTTAGTTCCCGATTGTTTCATATTGTTCGAAGATTGTTGGAGAACAATTTAGAAACAATAAAATAACAGAAATATAGAACCGAAATACTTATTCTTTATTATTCAAAATTACTTGCAATACAGAATGCAATTACACAATAAATACAAAAAATTAAAATGATACTAACTTGAATGAATTGAAGGTAGAGGTTAGCGCAAACGCTATGTCCTTCGAACAGTATTTCCGTCTCACTCGTGTGCTTGTGGTTCTACAACGTTTGCTCTACCAGCATACAACTACCTAATTCTACAACCTGCACTGGATTATAGAACTCTAGCAAATTGCTTTGTGTGTTTACTCTCTGGAAATTTTGTACGGAAGACAAGGAGGAACAAAAGATGATTCCCACTTGAATACTGTGATTGCAAATATATAGGTTGTTTCACACCCTTTCAAATACATGTTGAGTGTATTTGAAAGTACACAACTCTTTCTAATAGCTGTGTTTTTTAATCAAAACATACAACTCTTTCTAATAGATGTGTCTTTTAATCAAAACATTTTTTAATTAATAAATTAATTAAAAAACTTAATCCGAAAATTAAAATTAATGAATCTGATTAATTTTAAATTCCAAGACCCCAAGGCCCTTATCTTGATTAATTAATATTAATTGTATTTAGGCTATATTATATTCAAGCCTAATCCACACAACCATAAGGCTCAAGCCTTCAATCCATTTCCAAATGGTCCAAGTTCTAATTACTAAAAAGAAGGAATAAGCCTATATAAAGGCTAGTGAAAAAATAGTGTTGACCAATGTGGGATAAGAGGGTCTCAAACTCCTACAGCGTCTAATCAAGAAAAATGAATTTTCGTATAAATGATTATTCGAGCAAAAACCGTTACAATGCAAACGAGGCCTAAGATGAAAATGACACGAGGCCGCCTTAATTTAGCACCTTAATATGATTTTTTTTCACAACAATAAAAGAATTTAAGGTACATCAGATTAAATTTATGAGAATAAAAGATTTTTTTTCTTTTTCTTTCTAATCTAGAATAAGATAAACAACGAAAATTTTAAGATAAATAATAAGAGTATGAAGAAAATATGAGGCCTAATATAGAGTGAGGCCCAAGACACAAACCTTTTAGGATTGCTTCTGGACCGCCTATGATTGAAGCGATTGTCCCTTGGCACCACATGCATTGCGTTCTTAGTTCATGTATTGTCTTTAATAGATGGTTCAGATTGTTGAAATTCGATTTAGTGTGGGTTCCACAACTAATTCCTATTTTAAAAAAAATGGAAATAACTTCCCTTAAAGCACTTCCTATAAATATAACATGTTCTTTTTTTTGCTAAAATATATTTATATCTTGATCAATTAATTAATATTGTAAGCGTTACTGCATGTGTAGTTACCAAGGCTACGAAATATGGATGAGAAAGTGCGGGAAATGATATGGGACTATCTCAAGCCAGTGGTGTACCCTCAGAACACCATCGTTCGTCGAACGGGAGAACCATTTGATAGCATTCTCTTCGTTACAGAAGGCATTTTGTGGGTTTACTCGACCACTGATGGAAGTCAGCAGACTGGAATGATGAACCAATTCTTTCAGAAAAGTGATGTTTATGGAGACGAAGAACTTCTGAGTTGGACAACATCCCACAGTGGCAGCCCCTCCTATACAAATCTTCCGTTCTCGAAGGAAAATGTGAAATGTCACACAAAGGTACAAGGCTTTGCTCTCAGTGCTATGTACTTGACAGCTGTAGTTTCCAAATGTGGAGATTTCTGGAGCCCTAGTAAGACCACTACTCTAGTGCTGGTGTAGATATATAGGAGCATTGGCCTCTTCCCATTGTGCAACAAAATTGGCAAAGTTGAAGAAGTGTGTGACAAGCAATAAAGTCCTTTTCATTACAATTTCTAATTCAGTTTTAATTTTTTATGTTTATAAAATGAACTATTGTACTTTCTTTGCAAATTCCTTTTTGTTTTTCTCAATGCAATGATATTTTACACTAGAAGTTTGGGCTAAGCACACAATAGGTTAACTATAATAAATTTGGTATCAAACTCGTTATTTAAGAGGATTAAAATGCAAGACCTTCCATTCAAGAAAAATATCACCAGACAATAATGCTAGTTGCAAACCCCTTTGAATAGAAAAATTGAGTTGTCTCCTTTAAGCTAAATTTTTTTACATGATGCCTACAATGTTCTTTTTCTTGGCTGAAGCCTAATCGAAATTGAAGTGTCAAATTCTCATCCCCGTGAAGAGGAGAGTCGGATACTGGCTCATTAAAATACATCTACCTTGATAGAAGTCGAGAACTGAGTAGTAACCATCTTGCTTAAATATATGTATTACTTGTTCGCATGTTACTTTGAGACCAATGTAAGCTGATTTTTGGTTAGTTGGTTTAAACAAAACCATGGATGTTAAATGTGTCCACGTTTTGCAATTTTCTTGAATTAATATGAGAAAAGTTACATGTATACCCATTCCCTCTCTTTCCTTTTTTTTTTACGCCCCCCCCCCCCCCTTCTCAATGTCACCATATGGGAGAGACATGGGGACGTAAAAAAGAGATCCTATCAACTTGTACCGACTTAGGATAATAACCTCATGAGCTTAGTCTTACTTCATTGTTGAAAAACTAAAGAAGACTTCTATCTCCAAGTTTAACTCAGACGTAGCTTACTTCTTTTTTGGGTGTGAATTATGTCAAAACAAAATACCCAACAAGCATTAGTTCTCCCTAAAAATGTGTTTGGAAGTGCTTTCAAAATAATTAAAAGTGCTTTTGATAAAAGTGTTTTTGGAACCTAAAAACATTTTCACCAAAAATATTTTTGATCATTTTAAAAGCACTTCTAAAAAAGTTGTCGTATTAAGAATTGAGGGAATATAGAAAAACGCTCTTATTATCATGTTTTCGCTTATATTTTCAACTGGGCTGAGAGGGCCCAATATGTTTCAATATTGAAGACTCGATGTCCATGTCAATTTGTCATTCTTCTGTCTCATCAAATTTGATATTTGTGAAGTGCTACTAAAAAACATTATTGTCACTTAGTACTACGGTCTAATAGTATTTCTCCTAACTTTTAAGTGAGAGGTCTTACGTTCCATTCACGCCAAAGGCGAATTTGAACCACATTATATCAGAATATGAAAAGTTGGAGCAATGGTCAGGTTCCAGTAAACAAGGGAGACAAGTTTTCCAAAAGTCAGTGCCCAAAGACTAATTTGGAAATAACCAAGATGCAGTCCAAACCTTATGCTTCCTTGGTTGGAAGCCTGATATATGCAACTATTTGCACAAGACCGAATATTGCCTTTTTTGTAGGCAGGGTTTCAAGCAAATCCAGGTGAAGCTCATTGGGAAGCTGCTAAGAAAGTCCTGAGATACTTGCAGAGAACCAAAAATTTCATGTTGGTTTATGGCATAAGTGATACTTTGAAGCTTGTGGGATATACAAACTTAGACCTAGCTAGAGATGTAGATGATAGGAAGTCAACATGAGGATATATATTTATGCTTAATAATGGAGGGGTTGTTTCATGGAAAAGTGCAACACAAACTGTCATTGCAACATCTACCATGGAGGCTGAATTCGTGGCTTGTTTTGAAGGCATGAAGCAGGCAGCCTGGTTAAGAAACTTTATGTCAAATTTAAACATTGTGAATTCAATACAAAAGCCAGTGAAGATGTATTGTGATAATAACTCTGTTGTGTTCTTTGCCAAGAATAACATAAGAACTTCAGCTTCGAGATTGATGAATATAAAGTTTCTTAAGGTTAAAGAACAAGTCAAGAAGGGAGTGATTGAAGTACAACATATTAGCACAACTATGATGCTTGCTAATCCTATGACTAAATTGCCTATTGGAAAGTTCAAGTTACATGTTGCTCGGATGGGCTTACTAGAAGGTTTTGATCAGTGGGAGTAGTTGGCTAGTTTTGGTAAGGGATCAAGATTGTTGTTGTGAGGATTAAAGATTCTGGAACAGTTGATGTTATCCTGATAATGCTAAGGTTAAATTATTTTTATATTGACTAGTTCTGTAGCTAGGTTTTTAGTCTCTTTTTGTGTTTTGATGAGTCACTTTGCATTAATACTCAATTCTTCATTTATGGAGTTTTGTGGTTTTGAATGGCAAACTAAGTTTGACGATTGGATTCATTTGTTGCTTTGGAAAATAGTTTATCTGTTTAAGTAATTGATTGTGAATTGTTCTTTTGATTTATAATTGAAATGCTGCTCTCAAATGGTGATTGTTATTTTGAATCTTTTGAAGAGCAGGAGCAGATTTGTTGTATGAATTTGTATATTAGTTTTGGTCAGGAGTTATAAATTGCAGATTGGATACCTGTGAACTTAGAATCAATACTGCATGATTGTTTGTGGTTCATGATTCTTAGTTTCTGTATTTTGAGATGCAATAGAACATTAGTCATGATAATGGTTCTTGAATAAGGCCTTGTGATCACTTCTTATAATTAGTGTAGTTGTGTCTAAAATTGATCTTATGCTCAAGTAGGAGAATGTAAGAATATATGAGTATAAGGTTGGATATTTTGGCTTCAGCTCAATGGTGGATCCAGGAAAAATATTTCGAGGGGTCACATGTAAAAGTTTACAAGCATTTCTTAGACACATAATAACCTTAAAATTAAACCATAGTTTCATCATTCATAACTTATAGAACAAATAACGATACAAGTTACAATAGTCCCTGACTCGTTTTCATATTTTGAAAATGTTGCATTATAGCTTCATTGTCAATGGAAGAAAAAACATTGCTCTCAATATAAACCACCATACTATCACTCATCCATTGATCTCCCATTTGGTTATGCAATAGAGTCTTCACAATATTCATAGCGGAAAAAGCTCTCTCCACTGAAGCAGCAGCAACCATTAGAACCAAAGCCAATGTAATTAGCAAATACACATGATTATATACTCTATTCCTCCCTGTCTCCACCATTTTTTTTTTTTTTTGCTAGACTACCAATTCCTTTCAATTAAGAAAATTCACTATTCAAATGCATATCAAGAATATAATGCCAAAGTTGATCTTCAAGTGCCAATAGTTAACAAGTAGTAAATTCATTCGGATAAAACTAAGCAAAACAAATTAGCTTTTGTTCATCAAAGCCGAGAATGAATCATCCGGGCTCAAACTAGCTAAACAAAGAAGCAACTCTGTATTTGCCTCATCAAAGCGACTATTTAATAGTAACAAAGATCTCCACACGATAATGATGGAAGTTTGTGATTCTTTGAGCTCCACACCGTGATCTCCCTCAAGTAACATATCGATCATCCATGCTACAAATCTCAATATCATGCTTGTCACAAAATGAAGACACTTGAGCAAGCAAAAGATGAAATCCATTCTCTCTCATGTTTTGTAGTTATTGCTTACATACATAAACTAAAGCCATAGCATTCACAATCGAGTAACATATCGATCATCCATGCTACAAATCTCAATATCATGCTTGTCACAAAATGAAGACACTTGATCAAGCAAAAGATGAAATCCATTCTCTCTCATGTTTTGTAGTTGTTGCTTACATACATTAACTAAAGCCATAGCATTCACAATCTCTTGATCTTTCTTTTGTAATGCTTGTGATAAATTTTTTGTAACCCCCAATATAGATTTCATTAAGAATATGTCAAATACAAATTCGAAAGATTGTATATCTCCCAATGACCTATTTGCTTCTCCTACATTATCCCTAGAACCATCATCAACAATCATTTCAAGCACTTTCACCACAGAACCAAACATGGAAATGATACTAATCAAGGTACCATAATGTGAGTTCCAACGTGTGTCACTGGCACGCTTGAGATTAGTTTCTCGATTTAAACCCCGGCCCATTATAAGACAATCGTTTTCTAAAGCTTCCACAAGATCCTTTTGTAGTTGCTCTCTAAGTGCATCACGAAACTTACAAGATGCTCTAACATTAGTAACCACACTATTTGCCAATGTGAAAAAAGTGGCAATATCAACATTTCCCTTTACCACCGCAACAAGAGCTAGTTGAAGTTGATGCACAAAACAATGAACATAAAAAACACAAGGATTTTCTCTTAATATCCTTGATTTAAGACCATTGAACTCACCTTTCATGTTACTAGCTCCATCATAACCTTGTCCTCGTAGCGTGGAAATACTCAATTTATTTCTTGAAAACAATTGATCAATGGACTTCTTTAACTCAATTGAAGTAGTCTCGGCAACATGTTGAACTCCCACAAACCTTTCGATTACTTCCCCTCTTTTACTTACATAGTGAAACACCACTGCCGTTTGCTTAATTAAACATCATGCGACTCATCAACAATTATAGAAAAAAATGCACCATTCATATCATGAAGGATAACATCAATTGTTTCAATAGCACACGCATTAACAAGGTCCTTTTAAATTGAAGGAGCAACTAACTTTAGGTTACCAGAAGCATTTTCTAAGACAACGACCTTAATTGTCTCATCATGATCTGCGAGAAATTGCAAGAGCTCTATATAAGTCCCCCTATTATCCGAAGCTTCTTTTTTATCATGGCCACGAAAATGAAGACCTTGTCGCTATAAAAATCTAGTACAATCAATTGCCACATTCAACATAATGCGTTAGTTAACATAGCTTTGGTCGGTATGCTTGATCAAAACTGTTTCGATATGTTGTTTTTGATTCATTAGATCCAAACATTTTTGGCTAACTTTATTGTGAACACTAGAAGCACCTCCTTCATGCCTCCTAAGTAATTCTAGCCCTTTCTTCCAATTTTCTAACCCTT